ATTACATTTGATATGTTGTCCCGCTATTCGGAACACGAACTTGTGGGAAAACTCTGTAAACAATATGGAAGCTTTCCCTAGTCAGTACAGATACATTAGGTGGCTGGAAAACATAGACATTATTTTTGAACGCCATTGATACCTGGGCACAGAAGAAACCCCTTTGAACATCTCTTGCTACACTTAGTTCCTTAAAGCAGTTGAGGAGACTGTTTGCAGAACCACGGGATATCAGAGATCTGGTTGCTTAGGTCTTCCTAAGCTGCTGAGAAATTTTCTTTCAAAGTCTTTTGCGAGTTGGTTAAATTGCTGCTCCTTGTAGTCAATATGTCCTTCTTTAAACTATGGGAATTCTCACATAACACACACAGACCTAGTTTTGGTTGTGAATCCACATCCTTTAGTGGCTTATTCAAGTGTATGCCTTTAAAACAAAGTTTTATTTGCTTTGTTTCTGCATGTGCCGAGTAACATGATAAAATACAGAACAAGAGACACTGACATCAACTAGAACTTGGGCAAGAAAAAAGCTACTCCTTAGAGTGACCATCACACAGTAGTTGAAGAAGGAAAGTATACAAGAAATACACCAGAATATGGTACTGTCAGATGTCAAGTACCTTGGGAAGTTACTATCAGATGTGTTTGTTTTCAGTAGGAATTAAAATCTATCTCAATTTTGTGGTACAATTATTCATGGTACTGCGAATTTCTTTCCCCCTTAGTATGATGCTCCTCAGTGGTAATTTTTTTTTAATAGATTCCTTCATTTAGGACTTGATTAATAGTCACTTGCTCCAGCACTGATAAAACACCATGAATACATAAAATATTTTTCAATTCCTAAAGGTTCTAGCCTAATCTACCAGTTAAAAGCCTTGTTTCTAATTAATTTGCTCGGGGCCTTGGTTTGGGCTTGTTTCTGTCAGAATACAGTGGGAATTTTACTGTTTTGTATGTATGTTTGTGATTTGACTCAAACAAAAGCGAGCTCAATGTTGAATTCAGTGCTGTGACAGTCTGTTAATTTGTTGGCAAAATTATTACTGTTGAAAAAGGGATAAAGACGGAAGCAGCTGCAAGCAGCATAGCAAATAATAACACTGATCAAGACAAGTCTATTCCCTGTGTTTGAACAGTTAGAGACCAGTGCCTAGACACTAGAGAGAAGGGTAATTTCCATTGACAGTCAAAAAAAAACCCCAAAATAAGAACCAAACACCCTCCAAAATTGCTGTGAATGTGACAATGATAAATTAATCTTCCCCCCAATAATTTTGAAACCAATACATGAAGGAATACAGCCATCCTCATTTCATTTTCTAATGATGGGATATGAAATTTTGTGACAATTTATTATTAGATAAGTTTGTCAAAGATGTTCTTTCTTCTTGTTCTTTGCTGCTTTTGCTAGCTGAATTTTCCTGATCATTTTCAAATACCTATTTCAGATATTGATGAATGCCTTGAAGGTGGTTTGGGAACCTGTGGCCAAACCTGTATCAATATTCCAGGGTCATACATCTGCTCCTGTTTGCCCGGATACTCCTTGGGTATTGACAAGCAGTCCTGCTATGTGAACGGTAAGGACATTTTCCTTTTCAATGACTGAAAAAGGGCTTGAGATTTTTAGTTAGCATTCCTTTTTAAAGTGAACCATGCCTGCTGGTTCCTACTGCTCAGTGACTGGGGCTCTCTGGTTTGCTGACGAAAAACTGCCTCTGCTACTCTGTGGGTGAGTGGCAAAGATAAAAGGGGGTGCCAAAGAAGAGTGATAGTGAAGATATAAGCTATGGTGGTGGAAAGATTGAATGAACATAAGAAAACAAGCAACTAAACTTAACAATCACTTCCTGTTTGCCTTCTCTTCTGGTTTAAAACTGTGAACCTTCTTATTCCATCCTTACTTCCAAGAAGACTGCCAGTACACAAGATTCTTCTACCTTGGCTGCTTTCAGTCTGTTGGCCCTTGATGTCTTTTCCAGTATATTTAGGTTCTAGGGACTGTGCTGTAAAATTAGAAGCAGGAAGTCCTTATTTTTAGTTTCATCCATTGGCAGTTAAAAAACATGAGTGCTACTGTGAGTTATTTCTTTCCCTTCCTCTGTCCTGAGTGTATAAATTGATTTTTAAATGTGGAATATACATTTAAATTTAAAAGGTTTTAGCTCTTCTAAGAGGAAAATATTTGCAGTTAAAGCCTTTGATTAACCCTCATTTTGTCCTCAACTGATACTACCCAGTAGAAAAGAAATTAGTTGGATTTTATTGATTGGCTTAACCCTATATTGCATCTAGAGTATGAGGTGCGAGTGCTCTGAAGTTCATCTCTTTACCTCTCCACTTTGACTTCCTAAATGCCTGGGTTTGGTTCCTGTCTGGGATACACCATAGCTCCCTTCTGATCCAGGACCTCAAGTTTTCCCTTTTTTGACTAGCATTTACCAGGGACTATCTTGCTAGTGCAGAGATAGGATGTGACAAGGCAGGTTTCTGACCCAAGAAGTGGGAGCTGTACTTGAATCCCTTGAGATTTTGGGATCATGAACATAGTCAAAAGTATGCTGTAGAGCTCACAAACTGTCACCTACACAATTATTTTAGTCCAGGCCCTAGAATCATCATAATTATCAGCAACATGTAACTCACAAAAACCCACACTGAATTTTTTGCGGTCCTGCCTAAACATCCCTTGCTCCTTTGCAAACTCTTCACTTCTGAACTGAAGTGAAAACAAACATGTTACTTCCCAGTGATGTTTGTGCACAGCTATCTTTCAAAGAACAATCTTACCTTCATATCAGAGGACCACAACTTTTTAACGTGTTAGTAATAACATATAATAACAGTGGAAAGTGACTATGGAGCTACTGTGATGGATAAGGAGCTCTTAAGTCAGGTATAAACCCTTCTGTGAGGGATACACCAAATGAAATACCTTCATGTTTTAAAGACAGAAAGATCTTTGGTGCAGCTATGGTTTACTTGGTATTTAATCCCCTGATAAAACTGAGTCCCAAATCTGACTGGTGCCTCTGCAGTAAAAGTTAGATTTGTTCAGTTCCTGTTCCATTTAGAGCCCTCATTCACAGGCAGCTGGTAGGGAATTCAGAGAGTGGAAAGGACAAAACCAAAGTGTATAAATTCTCTTGGTCAAGTAATTGGCAAAACTGTAGGCAGTAGCTGTCAAATCCCTTAGATAAATCAGCCTTGCTACACTTCACCATTCATTTACCATTTACATGAAGCAAGTCTTCCTTGTTCAAATATGTTTACATGGGGTGGGTCAGTTCAAGTAGCAGCAGAAAAAGAGAGTAATTAAAATCCTGTAAGCAGCTGCTATAATTAGGTGATAGCTTTGAAATTTGAGATACAAAACATTCTGCTAATATGGAAACCGTGTGCTGACCATCTTCCCTGTGAACAAGACAAAATTACATCCTGGGTGCTCATCAGGACTTTCTTCACTTGGAGAAACCAAAATTTGTCTAATTCCTCTGCTTTGAAAGGAGAATTAAACAACCTTGCTGTTATGAAGGTCAAGCATCTGTCTAAATTTTGTAGAAGTTGTTTTGTTGAGTTTAAAGCGTCGGGCTTCATGCTAATAGTAAAGATATTTATTTAAAAAAACATGTGAACCTTGTCAATAAAGCCAGTTTACTTTGCAAAAGTATGTGTGTAAGAAAACTGGTGGTAGTGCATCTTTGATGGCATCCATTCCCAATAAAAGAAGAGCTGCTTCTTCATTGTGGAATAATTCAGCAATAGATTACAAAGGCTTGAAAGCTGTCATTCTGTTGGATCTATATCAATAATTGCATTTCAAAGTCAGTTGGTTTGAGAACTACTTGTATGCCAGGATCTGTTGCTTCAGGCAACCATGTTATAAAATTCCAACATGACTAACACAATGGGATTTATGCTTTGTGTGTTCTTTTTTGTAGTAAATTAAAGAATAGACTTGATGCCCACAAATAGGTATATACATATATTTATATATATATAAACAAACCAAAAAGAAAACAACAAACCCATGTTTATTTTCAAAATTAGAGTTAAAATATGTTGGTTACATAAGAACTGCTTTCCTATATGCACTTGACAGCCTAAATGAAAACCCTTGAAGTTTGGAAATGTAGTTAAGGTTCCTTGTGCAATCTTAATTGTGCTCTATGGTGATACCCTAACAATAACAAAGAGGACTTGAAAAAACTGGAACAGCCCCAATCATTATGCCATACTAATTGTACTTCCATACTTAAGACCTTGTTCTAAGGTTGCATCAAGGCTATTGGGACCATCCTAGCTGCTCTTCACTTTCAGTCTGGATTGGTTTTCTGGAGTATGTGGCATAATTGGAGCACCTTTCTTTTTAACATATTTTATGTTAAATTGCTGTTATACTCTTACCCTTTGCTCATTACAAATAGTTTTTGTCTGGAAGAAGTTGCTTTTGAGCTGTCAGAGTTTTAAGTACAGGTCTTTTGTTTTCCTTCAGCCTTCTGCAGAACAAGAAACCTCTCCGGTCTCCAGTTTCTTCCTTTGCCCTGTCTTGGGATCTTCAATTTCCCTTTTTTTGGTAGTTAAAGGGAGACTCCAGGCTACCTCTCTGTGATAAATTCTTGCTATAGCACAATAGTTTGAAGTGATCATCAACTTGGAGACATATCCATGGCAAACTTCTTTCAACCTCAGTTGGCAGCATGCAGCAGTTCTGACCTCTGACTGGGCTGTAGGATTTGGGATAAGTGGTAACAAGTACTGTAGTTTCAGTTTCCTAACTCAGATTTTTGCCATAGTTTTCAACATTAAATGTTAAAATACCATTATATTTATACATTACTGGTTCTCTGTGATACACCTAGAAAATTGTTACTAAGAGATGAGACAACTAAATCTTAAACTTTCTCTTTGACTAATCTGCTACTGATGAGAATTTAATGCAGCAAAAATGCAATGATTATCAATTAATTGGACTAATTTTGTTTTCTCCACACCAGACCCAGCACCATTCCTGCTTTTTAGCCATGGAAATGCCATCTTTAGAATTGACACTGAAGGGACAAATCATGAAAGATTGGTTGCTGATACTGGTCCATCAACACTTATGGATTTTCATTATGTAGAAGAGAAATTGTATTGGGTAGACTCTGAAAGGCGACTACTTCAAAGAATTCACCTAAATGGCACAGAACAAGAGGTAAAGTAATCAGTTCTTTGGAATTCTCCTAGCTAACGGGTGTAAGCCCCTCTATGGAAACCACCTGCTCCTTGGGTATAGTTCTGCCTTTACTGTTCATCAATTAGCACTTTACTTTTGCTGTTGTAATAGTTCTGATCCTGAGCCCAGGCTGTTTTACTGGCATTCACATTCAGTACCTACAGTATTTTCTGTGGATCAGGTGAAGGCAAGCTAAAAATGAAGGAGAGTAAATTCAGACAAACTAAGACTTTGTAGACATTAATGTTTCTATCAGTTATAGATTATTCTCTGGCGTTACAATTTTGTCTTCAAGATTATTGTAACACAAGCTGACACAAATGCTATGAGAAAAATGTGCTTGAATTTCTGCTCATTTTTCTCAAATCTTTTATTGGTTTCTGTGGTTGCATAAATGCTTTTAGCACTTTATTTTTTGTTCAGGAAATACTGCGCTGTTCATTGTATCTGTCTGATTAAGAAGAGTAGACAAGCTGCTGTGGCTGAACTTAATTGTTGTGGGAGTGTTCTTCTGTTTGAGAGAGAGATTGCCAGTATCATTTACCTGTATGGAGTTTTCACACATGTACTTTCACTAATTTTAAAGGATCAGAGTCCAGCAGCAGTGTGCTAGGAGACTTCCATCTGTAACAGTACAGGCCTGGGTGCTTCATGGTGTGCCAAATGCAAAAACTTGTAGCTAAATATTAATCCCGTGTATTTCATGTGCAGAGCAGCTTCTCCTTTTGCAGGGAGTCATTCAGTTCAGAGGGGGTATGTGTAAGTACAGAGACCAAATGAAAGTGATGAAAAGAAAAGAAAGAGAAATAGCTACAGGTATGAAAGAAAATGAAGCAGGCAAAGAAATGAACTGGAAAGTTTTAGCTGAGTATTCTATTCCCTGTAACGAAAGCCAAGTTAGAGTAGTCATTAGGATTCCTCTTATCAACTCTTTTATTCTTGTTTACAGAGACTGTGTTACATAGACAAAGGTATTTCAGGATTTGCTATTGACTGGATAAATCAAGACATTCTCTGGGCCCACAGACAGAAAGGAACCATAGAAGCAACAGACATGAATGGGAAGAAACGCCGAGTTCTTCTAAGAGCTGTTGGTCGTCCTACAAGGATTACCATTGATGCTGTACAAAGGTAATTTTAAAGGGGTTAGTAATTTCATTGAATTGGACTCCAAATATGTAAAGTACTATGATTGTGGTTTCATGGAATTGTAGAAATGAGTTAGAAGAGACTGTAAAGGTCATCTAGTTCCAACCCATTCACCATGGACAAGGACACTTTCAATTAGACCAGGTTGCACTAAGTTCCACCTGATCTGCTTTAAGCAATTCCAGGGGTGGGGCATCTACAACTTCTCTGGGCAACCTATTCCAGCACCTCACCACCCTCACATTAAAGAATTTCTTCCTAATATCCAATCTCAATCTATCCTTACTCAGCAAAGTTTCTCGGTAGGAAAGCAGTATTGGAGAAGCAAAGGGAATGATGCCTGCAAATGCTGAGAGTCACTTGTGCTCCAGACACAGCACACTTAGAACATAAATTGGTGTTTTCTGAAAAAAAGTCTAAACTGACAGTTTGCTGTTGTTTCCCTGTTTCTTTATTGATGTCTTTGAATATTGGTTTTGAATCCACTTTTGCTGCTTAGCATTACTAGTAGTTTGGCCTTCATAGAGATGCTCCTTTCAGTTTCAAGTAATTTACATTGAGAACCATGCTCACATGAGAGGCCTGGCTCCTCAAGGGTTACCAGTGTGAGTTGTCATAGTGGCCTCTCCATGCTAATCTTCTCTTACACAAAACCTCTTGCATTAAAGTTGCAAAAAAAAAAAAAAAAAAGAAAAAGAAAAAAAAAGAAAAAGAAAAAAAAAGCTTGAGCAGAATTTGAAATGTTTCTGTTTTGTTTAGCAAGAGCATATCTTTGCTGCCACTTCTGATTTGCATTAAAGTTGCCCAGCAGTGTGTGCAACTATTTTAATATTAAGGCTCATGGCTCATGTGTTCTTTCCTAATACATTTGCACATAAACCAATCTTCTGATGATAGTAGCATTGCTAATAGTCTTTGGAATCTTGCCATCTCAACGGGATTAAGGGCCTGGACACCAGACCTGCCTTTCCTCAAATTTGCAGGAGCTCCCTGTAGATTTGAGAAATTATTCCAGTTTCTTTGACTGATTGCATGGCTGAACAAAGCAGAGAGACAGACAATAGTACTTTGTGGTTAAGCTGGGCTGATTCCTGCTTGACCCACTTGAGGGAAATTGCTGCTACCTCTAGTAAAGCTAGTTTCTAGTATCTCCAGCAGTACTCATAGTTCTAGTACCAATACTGAGAAATTTTGTATACAGGAGAAACTAAATAACTAAATGAAGAGTGTGTAGCTGTGATGTGATTTGGAAAAATATAGGGTTTGTTTGTTATATTTTTTTTCTTTTGTTTTGTGTTGCTCTTTAAACATGCCTCTCTTGCCTGCAGGCTGTTATTTTTGTCTTCAGATGGTACAGTTTCCAGCATATACCGAGTGTCCCTCAGTGGAAATGATATGGAAAATATTTTTAAAACTACAGAAAAAATAAAGGCCATCTCACTAGATTTGGTTGACACAAGGCTCTACTGGATCCAACATGACCATGGAAAAGAAATTTCCCATATTGGATCATGTGACTATGATGGTGAAGCTGTTCGTTTCCTCAGAAATTCTGCCCGGTCAGTTGTCCTCAGCTTGTCAGAAATAAAATATTAATTCCAGGGATTCAGTTAAGCTCTCTCCCTCATTCTCCCTTTTATTGGGTCAATTCACAACATAAGGAGTATAAAGAGTAGTGTAAATGGCCTGTGACTGTAAATGTAACATTAATGATAGGAAAATGGAAAAATGTCACGATTATAAGGATAATACTGCCACTCAGCACTCTCCATCTTCCAAGTTTTCAGCATATGATAACTAAATAATCCTTAGAAATCCTCTCTGAGTGTTTATTAGTGGCCTTTTTCTGCAGATAGAGGAGCCAAAAGGAGAGATTAAATGTTTTATCCAAGGTCACAGTGGGTGAGCTCAGGTGTCTGAGCTGTGCTCAGGAGACTGAGCTCCATCCTCATCTAAGCCTGTTGTCCTCCTCAGCTGCTGGCTGGGGAGGCTCAGTCCTGTGCTCAGGCTCTCCAAGAAGCATCAGCAGACACGGTGAGAACTGTGCAAGAGAATTGTCCCTTCCCAGTGCCAGTGCTAAGCACAGCTGAAGGGGCTCTTTGGCCCTGGTGCTTTTGGTCTCCATGCTGTGCAGGGGTGCAGGTGCACAGTGGTGGTCATGGGGTCAGTGAGGGGATCAGGAAAAGGCTGTCACTGCAGAGTCTTTCAGTATGGTTGGGTTGCCACTTGTGGAAAAGGGATTTCCAACAGCAAACTGAGAAAAATACACAGTTTTGCTGGCCCACTGATTGAAATATGTGGCCACCACTTGCATATGATGATTTCTCCCTACATTGCCAGCAGTCGCTTTGGATTTTTCCTTACTTCTTTTCCCTTTGTCTCTTGAGTTTGTTGTCATTCACTGGAGCATTAATCCTTTAGCCTGGATGATCTGGATTCTCAGTTTTCCACCTGGATTACGTACTGGAAAGTGGAAGACAAAATACTGCTTTTGGTATTTTTGGGCTTTCTGTCTTATTTAAAGCTTGACCCTTTTGTGATTCCTGCTAGGTGCTATAATTGACCAGTGAATGGAAACTATGTTCCTGAGATAGGAGAAGCAGCAGAAGATGGATTTTAGGAGTGCCCTACTCCTACAACTCCATCTCCACCTCGATTTCCTCAGACTGTCAGAATTGTCAGAGCAGGCACTGGATATTGGGAAATGGTGGAACTTGACTGACCTACATCTTTCAACAAACCAAGTTTCCATTTTGTTTGCTGGGTTGACCAGTCGCAGGGTCAAATCTAGACTTTCTCTCCCAGTTAAGGCAGTCCTGACGAATAGATCCATTAAACCTTTGAGAAATGCAGGTTATCCATTTTGTGTCTATTTCTTGGACCTTTGCAAGATTATGAGTGGTGAATTATTTTGGGAATGTCTCTGTACCTCTTCTGATTCACATATATAGACGATACTATATTGTATGTGTATATATATATATATATATATATATATATATATATATATATATATACAATTCAAAGAAAGGTAATTTTCAGTGAACCTGACTGAACTGGGCACCCAGAAAATGTTTGAGTGAGTAAATATATAGGGATATTTTGCTCTCTTCTCTTGTAGACATCAATTGCTTGGTATGTCTCTCTTTGCTGAGCACCTGTACTACTCAGACTTGAAGTCTGGCATGATATGGAGAGCCAACAAATATACTGGAAACGTTGTAGTCACAATTAGCCTGAAGCCATCATTTTTCCCACCAGTGGAGATAAAAATAGTACATCCATTTAAACAGCCAGGTGCAAGGATTGATTCTCAGGATTTGGGTAAGTAAATGTAACGCTGCTTTGTGTGAGAATAATAATGTCATATACTCTGATTCTCTGCAGTAAGAATTTTCTTTGGCAAAATTCCAGGCCAAAGTGAAATAAAGGAAAAAGTTTTTTTCACTTCAGTGGTCCACAGTTTCACTTGGTGGGTGCAGCTTCAGCTGAGTATCAGGGTAGAAGCATGCCAAGCATTCACTATTAATTTATATACATTAATCTCTATACACATGCAGATAAATGCGACTTTCTCATTTCTCTTGCCTTTTATGCTTTTATGCTTTCCTGCCAGATGCACAAAGCATACAGATTTTTAATCCTCTGTCTACATTATCCTCACCAAATGTCTACTTCATTCTGAAAGTTTTAGTCTAAGGCGTCTCTAAACAACTCTGATTATTATGGCAGCAAAAGGTTTTAAGCACACAATATGTTCTACAAGTGGATGTCTCAGCTTTGTTGTGAAATGATTCAATTAAAAGCCAGCAGGTCTTAAACAGTCTTGAAGCTGCTATAATAGCTATAGGATAAGAGACTCCTATCTCTTTAACTGATAGCAATTGCAGCCCACTGTGTGAGTTGGTCAACTCACTGCCTTTCACTGTGGATCCAAAAATGAAGATAATTGACTATCAATAGTTCAGCTTCCTTGAGGATTCCTGCTGAGGCAGTAGACGTGGAGGATGTCCAGGAAAATAATGTCTTGTCCTCTAGTCTCTGGGGAGCAGAGCAATCTTGCTTTAATGGAATAGCTTTTGTCACCAGTTCTGCTTAGATAAGAACAATGGAGCAAAAAGTGTGGAGGTATTTGTGTGTCAAGCAGTGGTTGCACAACTCCCAAGGGAAGATTGCCATAGATTCCTAGAGGTATAATGACATGGGGAGAATGTAGTGTTTGTTTTAGTTTATATGAGCAAAAATGAAACTGTAAATATATATTTGAACTATTCTTAAATAGCTACTATAAAATAGGCTTTGTCGTTCTTCATGCCAACCAACAGCTTTATGTAGTACCATGAAGTCGGTGCCGTCTGAAGACTGGTCTGAGTGGGAAGATCAAAACCTCCAAAGAAACTTTCCCCTTCAAATGCTTTGTTTGTAGTGCCAGGATGTGTTGAGATGCAGAAGATAAAGTGTTCCTGGAAATCAAGCTTACTCTTGTAAGCACAGGGAGTCTCTATTCAGAGACAATACTTGAACTGTCCTTACTTTGGGGAAAATGGCTGTCCTGGCAAATGGAAGCACTTTTTTCTACTGACACATTTGGTGCTGTCACATAGAGGAACTAGGGCAAGAATGTGCAGCTTAATTTCAGTGGCTGTGGGCACTTAGCCTTTATTATACTCTCAGAAGATTTGCTCCATTTATTCCACTGGAGCGTTCTGCTTTCCGGCATTTCTCTTTCCACGGAAATGGGCTTTCCCTGCTTTTATTAATATGTAACCTACCAATATTTTTAAATATATGTGTATTTCCAACATGTTTAGTAAATTTTTATACAATAGTAAGTGTTGTAAGCAGTAGGCTTTTTAAAAAGAATTCCAAACAACTTCTTGTAAAAATGTCTGGGAAGTTACGGAGTAGAAAGAAGCTTAACAGGCTGAATCCAGATGAGCCTTTTGGACTTTGTATGTGCGTTGCTTGGCTTATCCAATGCAAGAACAGCGATGAAAGGAGGACTAATGAGCCTGGAGTTCAAATGAGATTTATAGCTGATCTTACAACAGAGAAACCTGAAGATAAAAGCATACCTAGACTAATTGGATGCTCTGTACCAGCTAAAAAAATGTACATTGCAATGTAGTGTCAGCTGTGAATTATCAAGCCTTCTTTAAAGGAGGTAACTAGTTCCTTCAGATGAAAAAGGAACGTAAGAGAAGTGTGCAATTGATATGACTTTATTATTTTACTGGAATTTGAATTATTTACTTTGCTACTTAAATCCTCAGATCCCCTCTTCCCTTTCTCTTTCAAATTACTTCCTTCGATTGGTCAGTGCCAATAAGAAGAGAGAAGAGCATTAATTCATCTAGGGGTTTGTTGTAACCCACAGAACAACTCTGGTGTGGCACTTCAAGTAACAACTCATAAAATAACTGAAATACCTTAAAATCTCAAATACTGCCCACAGAATTCTTTGAAAGAATCTTTCCTAACAGATTAATTATATTCAGTACACTTGGTTTTATTTTTTTATTTTTTTTTGAGAAATTATGTTGTATTTTTTTCCAATGTAAGATACTAGCATCAGGCTAATATCTATGCATTTCCATGTAAGACAGATTATGGGAGGGGAAAAAAAACCCATAAAACACAAATAAGTTATTAAGTGTGTAGTAGTAATGATGTTCTTCGAGAAAGTATTACATTATAAACTTTGTGATTCACACTTTAATCACCATTCTTTTTAAGCTTTGAAATGTGATTGGGTTTAATGTACTGATATGGCTACATAGGGTTCTAATAGTTAGTCAGTTAAAAATTATCTTCTTGAGATTGTCTATATGGCAAAACTTCTGCTATATAAAGAAGCTATATAAAAAATATAGCTTCTGTTATTTATTCTGTACCTCCCAGGTATCTTAGGTCTTTTTAGACGACTTAGATCAATAATGGTACAACCATGGGATGAAAAATCAGGAACAATGATGAGCATGTGATGCGGCCTTGAATATAGTCTTGTTTATGGATTCTGTTGTTTTGTGGTTGCATGAACTTGCACTTTCGTCATTCTAATGAGTTCTTTATTTGAAGATTAGACTCTTCACTGCTGTATGTTCCTGATTCAGTTGCAGTAGAAAAAGATTGTGTCCAATTCAAAATTAATTCTACTAAACGAGAGGCTCACCTAAGACCACACAAAATTAAAGTCTCTTAAAATACAACATGCTAAATAACAGATAATATCTCCCTAGTCCCTAGTCATCCATTCATAATTTTGCATTTAATGATATGACCTTTGCTAGAAAAGACTTAACCAGTTTACCAAATATGTGCAAGGTGTCTGTGCCTGTAGTCAAGCTGCAGTGTCTGTCTGGGAAATTACATATTATTACTTTTATAGATGTGGTCTGTCATTCCACCAAGGGGCCAAACTTGGAGCTTAAATATTATGCAGTCTTCCATCTGTTGGATTTTAGATTGTGAATTGGAAACAGCACAAGAAAATTGGTCAGATATTCATTTCTTTGCCTGTATGTGCCTGTGATGATTTATGCACACAGCCAAGGACAAAGACTGCATTTTGTGTGGCTGCACAAAACATTCAATAGCAGCAGTTCAAACAAAAATAATCATTTTGGAGACAAAAAATAAAATCATGAGTGCTACATATCTGTGAAAGCACCAGCCCTGAAAGATAGCTGAGCACAGATATGAGGCTCTGCAAATCCTTCCCATGAAAAAGGATATTGGAGTAGCTTTTCCTGTGAAGCAGGAGAAATAGGAAGGCTCCTGGGGACCTGTTGGACACATTTTTTCTTCTTCCTTTGAAGAAAGGTTCTGAATTTGAAATTTGAGCTCAGCATTTAAAATGCTTGTATTTCTCATAGATCCACACCAATATAAATGATTCTTTATGCACTAATACCTTTTGCCCAAATGAAACACATGGTCAGTATAATCTCTCCAGTTATCTTTTTTGTTAAATAATATGAGTAGTAGTGTGGCCATAATACTCCACTATAATCTCCAATAATAATAATATTAATAACAACAGTCTTTGTATGCTGTGTCTTAAAAATCTCTCTTCACTCTCTTTTTTGCATAAGTGCTCTCTCTGTGTTGTTCTTATTTCTGAGTGTTTTATGTGTGCAGGACTGGGGGTGTAGGAATCTTGAATTTTCCCTCTCATAGTCACTGTAGGTATAGACCCAAACCAAACCATCCCATAGTTCAGGCTCTCTCTAGATCTGCTTGTGCTGACATAGAGTTTGAAATAATTGTTTGCACACACCTACTCCTAGTATTCCAAGGACTTTCATTTTTACAGTGATTGGCTTTTTGCCTGATTTTACCAATGGAAAAAAATGAAATTATTTTTTATTGATAAGAAATTCCTCAGCTTGTTGAGCAAGCAGATGTTGAGAAGAAAAAACATATCATATTTCTAATGGAAGGTTAATATAATAAGAACTCAATTCTATTTACACTGCAATTGTTCTTTCAGAAAAAGGAATCTGTGATTTGAACAGAGAAAAGTGCAGAAGAAGAATCTGCAGGCCAGACTCAAGGACTCATCGGTGTAAATGTTCTAGTGGCTTTATTTTAAGTCGAAATAAACAGTTTTGTGAAGGTAATACATGAATTGCTCATCAGCTTTATTCCACCACATGAAAAAATTCTTCTGTTCTTTTACTTAGTATCTTGAGTTTGAAAAATTACTATGAGCTTCTAAAAATTTCAGCGTGCCACTTCAGTTCTGTATCCTTCCAAGTTCTGAAAGTTTTAAAAGAGACCTATGAAAGTGTCACAGATGCTATTCTTGTCAGAAATTTTGGTCTTAGTCTGAGTAGGTAAAGGAGCTTCAGATAAGTAGAAATGCTTATGTGTGCTAATTTAATTTTTAAGTAAGGATGAAACTGGATGTATCACTAAAGGTGAAATACTGAATAATTCAGCAACAGGATGTCTGTCTGAAGTATCATTTAAAAAAAGACAGAAATTCTTAACATGCCTCTAAATATTTTAATCTGGGTTGTTTTATTTAAAATCTAAAATTGCTATTAATAATAGAAAATATAATAATTTTTAAAGCATCTCTTTCACTAAATGACCAGATTTTGTAAGACATAATGGCATCAGAATTTCTAGCTTACAGGATTTACAAACTTGCTTGAGCATCAGCATTCCAGTTCTAAGGAAATTCTCAGGTTTGATTTCTGAGTTTCAACTTTTAATACACTTGTGTTTTGAGATTTTTACTTATGTCATGTTGAATCCAAATTTTTAAAGGGATTTTTTGTTTTAAGAAGGTGTCCAATGTACATTTTTTGGACGTGTACAGGATTTAAATGGCACTGGAATCTCTATGGAAAGTCCTCCAGGCACCTATGCTGGACACACAGAGCATGAGTATGTTTTGCCAGAAGGTTTTTAACACTGATTTGGATGATGTCTGCAAACTTGTTTTCTTATAGTTTATTAGGAAAAACACATTTTTGTGAAATGGATGCAAAAAAAAGATGTACTTTTTCAGACTCTTACTTTGTTTCATTAATATATTCTCTAGCATTGGCTGATAACGTTATTCTGACACAAGTTCTTTTTTTTTTTTTTTGCAGACATTAATGAATGTGGCTTCTGGAACCATGGCTGCACTTTAGGCTGTGTGAACATTCCTGGTTCCTATTACTGTACCTGCCCAAGAGGCTTTGTTCTGCTGCCTGATAGGAAAACATGTCACGGTAAGGAGCTGTAACAAACACTTGGAGTATCCTATTGGAGACAGTCCTCATTTAACACTGGAAGTGCTGAAGCTTTTGTGTATTGCGTTGCTTGCTTCCAATCCCATATTTATCTAAGCGGGATCGGCTTAAACTGCGCGAACTGATTTCAGATGTCGTGTTCAAGGAAGTATAAGTTACAGTGAGAAATTGTATATACCTTTTCAGAGGAAAAAAAACCAAGTCATGTCTCCAGAGAGACCTCTTCTCAGATTAGGCCCGGTGACACATTCCAGGCGGATAAGCAGTTACATATTTTTAAATGTGGTCTCTGAATTTGGCTCACTCTGTAAGGATTTGCCCAGTCTCTGAAAGACCAGCTCACAGCATCACGTATTTTCAGATTAGGGCTGATAGCATTGCTAATATGTATGACATTTGTGGAATTAAATGTGTATGCTTAGCCTAAAAATGAATGAAGCCTTTCTGAAGTAAGTCTAGAACATAAAATGTGTTAAGTTTCCAAGTTTTGAGGTCCTGGGATATTGTCGGTCAGTTTTGAAGTGAAACTTATCCATGGACAAAGGTCCTTCTACTTTGTTTCCATCGAAGTAAAACATTGGTAAAAGGCCCAATCAGGAGTGCCAGTGCACACCAACGAGTTCAGTGTGGATCATGGCAGGATAAGGATCTAGGATATATTAAATATCACTACTGGAGAGTAAATATAGCCATACCATCTAACAGACTCTAGCAGTCAGTCTATTTTAGACTCCAAGAGTCCTGGGCAGGACCAGGAGTTGGATTTGACGACCTCTGTGGGTCTTCAAATCAGGATATTCTGTGATTCCATAAGAGCCATTTCTTAATCTTTATTAAGAGGGAGCCAGGAGCAGGATTCAGTGACCCAAACATGGGGGTTCAGGGTGTGTGTGACAGCTTCAGAAAGCAGCCGACTGCAGCAGAAGAGCTATAGCAGGGCTGCAGCCAGAGGTTATTGGGAGGTGGGATATTATTTTGTGTCCAAAACAACATTTAGACACTGTGCAACTCAGTCCTACTTTGGATGACCAGCTTGAACTGTATGCCTACATTTTGGGTGGCTCAAATTAGATAGAAAATAAGGTTTTTCTAGCACAGGCTAGGGATGCAGAATGGATGGTGTGACCCCTTAACTACTGCAGCACAAGGCAGATGTTCACCAACTATACAACTTGAGAGACGCACAAGATGAGAAGTCCAAATGGTGGCCAGAGATTTTGATGCTTTGTCCTCCAAGTCCTTTACGAAGCTCTTCATCTAAAGCCCCAAGCTTTGGTCAGAAAGAAACTTGAATTTTCTGGACCTTATTCGCTGTGCTTAAGTGGTTAGCACAGTCCAGTCCAGAATGCAGTTGCCCTGGAGAAGGAATATTTGCAAGAGCTGTGCACCATTTGAGCCAATGTGTGCAGCTGATTCAAAGAGGCAGCTGTGGAAATCTTGCATTAGTTCCAGTCATATGGCACTAGATTTGGGACAAAGAGATGGAGCACTGCAATGCAGAAGGTGGAAGGACCATATCTTGTGAAATTTCATTAAAGAAATACTAAAAAAAATGTTGGCACTGCAATATTTCTAATAGCAAGTAAAGGAAAGGTATTGCCAAGTCCTCAGATGATTTTGCCCTTATAGCTTCTAAATTGACACTATGGAACACAGTTTTGTTTCTGGAAGGTTCATCTCCTGTTTTGATTGATCTTGGCTCTTTTATACTTGGAGTAGTGGAAAGTAATTCTTCCTCGTTCTCTTCATCTTTTATACTTATTCTTTCTGTATAGATTCCTTGTAGTTTTTACAACCTGATCTATTTTTGATGAAAAGTAAGAAATAAAGTGTTCAAAATTACTTCCATTTTAATAACACATCTTCAGAGAATTTTGGGAAATTTAAGGCTGGTAAGTGTAAAGGCTTCAGGACTCAGCAATTTTTGCTTTCTCCTGGGCTGTAATTAGGAGAAGATGGGGGAAAAAAATTGGAAAAGAAAAATAGAAACCCAGCATAAAAAAACATAGACTGCAGATGTTGTACTGTTAACATCACACTTGTATTTATTTATATATTTAGTTTCCTTGCTTTCTTCTTCTTCTCCTTCTTCTTCTTCTTCTTCTTCTTCTTCTTCTTCTTCTTCTTCTTCTTCTTCTTCTTCTTCTTCTTCTTCTTCTATTTAAGATGTTAATATCTCTTACTGGGGGCTTAATAAAAGTTTTTATCATTATTTAGGATTTTTTTTCTCCTTAAATTACTGTAGAGCTAATTACCTGTACAAGTAATGACACTGGATGTGGTCATGGCTGCCTTCAAACATCTAAAGGCGCTGTTTGCTTTTGTCCAGAAGGATCTGTGCTCAAAGCGGATGGCAAAACATGCACGGGTAAGTAACATTTTTTCTGGCTGAACTGACTGGTGACTGCCAGGCTCTGTTTATTCTTGGCACCTAGAGCCAGAAGTGAATGAAGGCGTTTTACACTCATTTTGAACAGTTTAAATGATTGTATGAGATAAAAGACAATAGAATATAAGATGCTTTGAGTGCTGACATGAACAGTATTCATCTTTAGTTTTTAAAACATTTTTAGTATCAGCAACATATGATTTATATTCCAAATTATATCCAAAGTAGCTGGCCAAGTTCTTTTGTTGTCATCACAGATCAAGGCATGTCACAGATTTTTGTTGTGGGAGACATCTAAAATTTATACTCGAGAGAACATATATGTGCAAAATTACGGCTTGGGTGAAACCTGAAGATAATTTCATTGACATCATGAAGCCCAGGTTCAAAGTCACTCTAACTTACCCACAAATGGAATTTTTTTGTAGTCAGAATACTTGAAGCTGCTATACTCAATCTGTCATTCCCCACTTCAGCAATTTTCCAAATTCAGAGGACTCTAGCTTCTCAGCTGCATCTTTTCAGTCTTAGGGGTCAAGACAGCTCCATTACTGACAACCTTATGGTGTGAAAAATCCTCTTTCCATTTTAATCCCTTTCATATTGTGGGCTGTAATTTATACACATAGTTCAGTCATTATTTCTGTTTTGCTAGGTCATGTTGGTACTGAAAATGTAACAGAAAAAAATGACAAAAGAATGGTTTCTTTTTACATGAAATCTTGGTTTGTTTTATTAGAAAGTATGAATTTGTCATCCTAGCCTAATAAACTTCTGGGAGACAATTGCATTAATTTGCTGTTTCTTTGCATGGAGTGCAAAGTCTGATAAAATTTATTACTCTGTTGTAGATGGGATGAGATTTACACGGGAGAAGAGCTCTCTGAAACACGTGAAAGACCTCTCTTTATGTATCCCGCCCTCCCACCTTGTCTTACAACACAACATCTTGTGTTGTAAGTTTTCAGGGAAACTCTGGAACAAGTTACTACTAATTTGTTTTCACGTCACTAGCCTTCTCCTTTCATCAGGAGGCCTTTTGGTAAATCTGCCAGTCACTGAGATGATTTGCACTGTAGAAATCCTGAGGAGGGTGAAACATTATCTTATACCTCTGATTCTGTTGTATTTAATTTTTTTTTTTAAGAACGGCACAGTAAAATTTTACAATGCTCTGCTTAAGGTTGTACCTCTCCAGATAATGGTGGCTGCAGTCAGATATGCTCTTCTTTAAGCCCATCCTCCTGGGAGTGTGCTTGTTTTCCTGGATACAAGCTTCAGAGAGACAGAAAGCACTGCACTGCTATAGGTTGGTGTCTTGCATATTTCTGCCAATAAAAGCAAAACCTTTTTTGAGTTCTTTGAGTTTTTTGAGTACTTTGTGAAACTTGGGAAATATCAGTTGTTAGGAAAGACAACTTATTTTGGAAATAAACCAGAACAAGCACCAGTATATGGTTCTGTCTCCTTCACAGAAAGTTCTATCTGTGATCCACCTTCAGCATTTCACTCCAGGCTTCCATACTGTGGAAGTCTGTCTTGCAGTACATAGGGTTTTGTGCCTTCACATAAAGAAGGGCATAGTTCCTGCCTTACGCAGCATTACGGAAGTCTCTGTATTTGAAGAACAGGGTAGGGAAGAGTCTGTTAAAGGACTTTCCACATAGGGATGTTTCTCCCTACTGACCCCAGAAAGCTGAAGTATTTGATGTGCACTTTTGGATTCTAGACCGTTCTGTTCCTCTGAGAAAAGGGCAGCCTCCAAGATATAAGCAATTGTCCAAGAGAGGGGAGGAAAAAGAATTTTTTTATTAAATATATATATATATATTTTAGGACAGTATCTTTCTAGCTTTTACTACAAAAGACTTCTCCATATGCAAAATTCAAATTATCATGACATTTATGGTGATGCTGTGAAATGTAGAGAGATTATTGCCTTGAGGCTGAGGCACTCAATGTGAAATGCAGAAGGACTAGTGGCTCCTTTTGTCAGAAATGTTGAGGGTGATGCTGAAACTCATATTCACATTTATTTTTAATTTCTTAGGCAACTGGAGTGTAGGAAAATTGCCATAATTTCTTTTTGCTTCTGCTCCTCATTTTGTCTTTTGCTGTTACTTATTTACAATGCTACTTAGGTAGTAATTCAAGTTAGAGATCACTTTGAACTTAGTACAATTAACATACTGGCAAATTTTAATCCATAGGTCCTAAGCCATTTTTGTTATTTGCAAATGGCCAAGATATCCGCCAGATCAGTTTTGATGGAACAGATTATACAAGTTTACTTGACTGGCAGATGGGAGTAGTCTTAGCACTGGACTCTGACCCGGTGGAAAATAAGGTAAGGCATTAAAAATGAGAGGATTCTGGAGTGTTGCAAGGACAAAAGGATTGAGCTTTCATGTGCCTTAACCTTTCCTCTGTCAGTGATCTGGATTGCGCATTATGCTGCTAGTTGTTCTGCTGCCTGTCTAGGAGCACAACTGGTACAGGCTGCCAAAAGTTAGTTGAAGAGTTTCATCCTTTAATTGCTTATTTTTTGTACATTGAAAATAATAATTCACAGAGAACTTGGATTTCTAAATTCACTTCAGGTATGATTTCAATTTTAAAGAGCTGTTGTGTGATTGATAAGTTTTCTCCATTAAGACTTAAGCAGTGTTGTTTTCTGGAAATATATTGTGGTTTTTTTTCATGGCGTAGTGGTACAAGCAAAGTTATCTTTTATTCTATACAGCTAAATCTGTATGATCCCTAATAAATGCTGGAATAATCACAACAAGAATTATTTCCCATGTCCTGATATTATTGAGCAAAACTGCTGAATGCTCAAAGAATCTGTTGCTCTTCTAAATGTGCTCCTCACATAGATAGTGCTGTTGGAAGCAGGATTCTTCTCTGTATAAAGACCTGTTTGTCTGTGTAGCCATATCCTAGCGTCCTACTCTTTGCCTGCAGAGCTGGGAAGAACAGGAGTTCAGCTGTGCTTTGCTAAACCTTCTGTGGCAGATAGTTGTATTTTCCCATGGAGAGGCTTATTTACACTGTAAAAGTGTTGCAAAGGAGTACTGGATGGCATGGTGAAAGCTGATGAGGAGCTCAGTTAAGTTGTTGGAAGCATCTCAAGGCCCAGATGGACACAGTTAAACTAATGTGGATGTTACCAGATCTGCATTTACAGGAGGAGCACTTCTGGAACATTGCCACTTGCTCCTGAAATAGGGCCCTGCTGGAGAGGCAGCAGCTGCCCTGTGCAGTGCCGAGTGAGGATCAGCTGTGCCAGCGACTCGGGTGTGCACCGGGATCCCCTCCTGCGGTGCTAGGTGGGCAGTGCAGGGGTGAGGGGACATGCAGGGGCCGGCCAGGCTGCAGGAGCCTGGTCGGTCAGTACAGAGCTGGGTGGCAAGGCAGCATCCCTTTGTGCTCTTAGGGTATTGAGTTAGCTCATCTAAGGCTAGAGGCTCCCTCCTCTTTGGTTTGACCTCACGGCTAGCATCAAAGCAAAGCTATTTGTTTCGCTGTTACCATTTCCAAAGAAAGCTTCAGCATTGCTTCTGGTATAGTTGTGCCATACAGTGTTTGGTTCCCTCTGGTATTGGGATACAAGACAAAATTTACATATCCTTGGAAAATGCAAACCTAGTTTCCCTGCCAGCAAAGAACTTTTCTTTTGATCCCAAACTAAGAAACCTCTTATTAGTTTGGAACCTTACAGATGTTGGAACCTTATAGAATAGACACCTAGTAAAAAAATAAGATAGCTGCAGAATGAAAGAATGGAAAAAAAGTAGAAGTAAATTTAATAACTCCTTTTCCCCTTCCCAGCTCCTTAATATACACAGAGTGCTACTATCTTCTCCACACTTCTCCCTTTTCGACATGTGCAGCCATTGAAAAGACAACGTGCTTCTTTCTGCCTGTTCCTACTTTTGCTTCCTCAGCTGTGCTTCATGTGAAGTAGCTGCTGGCTGAAACAAAACCACAGGATATCCAGAGGGCTCTATATAGGGCAACCAGGATTTACAGCTAAGCACAATCTGCCTGCAGAAGTCATCCTGGTTGAAGGATAAGTGCCTTTATATTTGATCAGGGATCACGGGTTACCTGTGCAGCCTTTTGTGAATAAGCAGTTTAGGGAATTTTCCAGATGAAAAAGGTATTTTAGAAATGGAGTTACTAGACAGGGAAGGTAGAGTAGAAAGTGAGATGAGAACTAATGACACCGTGTCTGTTATTTATTCACAGATTTACTTTGCCCACACGGCCTTGAAATGGATAGAACGAGCTAATCTGGATGGTTCAGACCGTGAAAAGGTTATTCATGGAGCTATAGATACACCCGAAGGCCTTGCTGTGGATTGGATTAACCGTAAATTGTATTGGACAGACAGAGGGTACATGCTCCACAGTGCATTTACGTTGAAGCATGCCATAAAATATTTGGAATAAATGACTGGTGATACAGAAATAGCTAAGATATCACTCTAATTCAGTAGTGCTTCACATTCTGTTTGGGTAGTTTTAGTCTCAAGTATATACAGCTGGAATGTTCTTTAAAACTAAAATGCTGGAAGTTCACTTGCAGTCTGTTACTGTATCTTTGTCTTTCCAAGAAGCAAGGATTTGGACTCAGTTGCAAGGAATCTAAAGCATGCACTGCATGTATACATATACGTATGTACACGCGTGCATATGAATATATTTCCTTATGCTCTTTTATGTATACATACGTTGTGTGTGAGAGTGTGCGTGTGTATAGGTATATCCCTGTACATACACATACACATACACATACATACATATACATATACATATACATATACATATACATATACATATACATATACATATACATATACATATACATATATATATATATACATAAACATAAGAATATTACTGTACTGAGTACATCTTAGGCAGAAGTCAGTGTTGTTGGCAGCTAGAATCATGTTGTTGGAGAGTCTTTGTCAATTATCTCTGATGAAAAAGGAATTACTGCTGCCAGACAATGTGACCACCTTTCAGCTGATACCTAACCTTACATGCAGAGGGAAACAAAATTGACCTTTGGTGAAAAGGCAGTTTAGATCACAACAGATAATGAAGGCTCCTTGAAGAGTGGTCATGAGCTTTCAGTATGATCCAGAATTCATTAGTAAATAAAGAGTCATTTTGAGTGTTTAGATCACCCTCCTTCTCCATTTTAAATACTCTGCTAGTCCGCTTCCTTGCTTTTAGGTACAACATTGCCACATGATTGAGCTGCTGTAGAAATATTCCAGTGTTTCTCATGAAATAGGAGATTGTTGTGCTTCTCTCCATAAGACAGGAGTTCAGGGAGAATATGAGAATTTGAACCTGCAACTTCTTTCTCACCTATTGCATTTACCTGTTTGTATTTCACATTTGTAAGAATATATTTCTCCCTCTATCTCTGTGGGGCCTTTCTCTGAAAGTTCCAAGAGGCATGGAAGGCTATAGCCTTGCTTGCAGGTAGAGGCTGATATTTGCCTGGCAAGGTGAGTATTGCAGGGATAAAATCAGTTTTCAGGAAAGAAGTCACTGGAAAGACTGGCAGTGTAGATTCTATACTTGACTTGGCCACAGATTTTATGAGTAATCTTAAGAACCTTAGCCTCATTCTTTCCCGCAAAGTAGATGTAATATGTAAAATGACCACTGATTTCTGGATGAAAAATGCTATGTAAAAGTACTATTTTAAAAAAAATTCTTTATATATTTGGTAATGGTATTCAGTCCTTTTAAAGCTAACATTTATCTATTGGCAGTCATACTTGCAATTCATTATTCACCCAAAGAAGGAGAACTTCATGTTTTCTGCAGAGCATCAGGTATTTTATCATCATGCTCTGGACCAGATAATGAAGCTGTAACATGAATTACTTGTTGATAAAACAGCTAGACATCCCATATCAGCAGGATTACTTCCTGTCACTGTGAAATTATTTATTACAGCAAAACTAAAGCAATGCAAAATCTTAGTACATTCAGCCCAAGAAGGTAATTAAAAAGATAGCAGGGAGGACCTAACAGTGCTCTGTGTGTTGCAGGAAGGTGTGCATTGAAAGGAGCAATCTGAATGGAATGCAAAGAAAAATGATCATCTGGGAGGATCTGTCCCAGCCCCGAGGGATTGCCATTCACCCATTTGCTAAGTAAGGAGTGATAAACACAGTAAATCGTGTAATTCTTGTGGATGACTTTTAAAAATGAGCTTGCAAGCCTTGCCCTTTTGGCAGTCAAAATATGCATTAGTCTCATGCTGGGTTAGTCATTGCCTTGCAGAGCTGTGTTAACTGTACTGTTATATTGCAAGGTTTCTTTCATGAGTTGGGACATATTAATTTCTCATACAGATTTTAGAAGAAAGTAATTGGAGTATTAATGATAGTGTATGCAGTTTAAGCTAAAGAAAAGCATGAGCTACTGAGGTCACTGACAACTGTAGGTGCCACACTACAAACTTTGATGGTTCCATATCTAGTAGGGTGAAGAAGGTAATTACTTTTAACCAGTAGTGGTTAAACACTGCCTTTTTTGGGTCCACGTTTCAGAGGAAATGAAACCTAATTTACTGTTCTGGAGATTTGGTGTTTTAAATGCAACTTGTATCTTCTTAACTAGTGTTGTAGTGATCCCAGGTGTTTAAACTCTTGATGAAATTCTGGCTATTTCAATCAATGGCAAAATCCCATGGATTTTAGGCAATATGCTTATAGTAGGAGCATTTTAAATCTGATCCTTAAAATTTTGTTTTGATGCTCATATCCTGCTATAACTAAGTACTGATGAATCAGAAAGAAGCTGGTTTGGGGAGGGTGTTTTCCTAGCTTGCCTCTGCCCATAAAAGACCTGAAATAATCTTTCAGAGGAGGTTGAATGCTATAGAGACATTTTGCAGGAAAACTTTGAAGAAAGGTAGGCTCTGCCAGATTGTTTATTAGAATTATTGGTAGAGGCAAAGCGTGCAAGGGGAAAAGGAGGAGGAAACATCATTAAAACCTTCCGTTTTAGAAAGTTAATGGTGAAAAGATGAACAGACATGATGGCAAAGTCTATAGTTGTAAATATTAAAGAGGGACATGAAACACAATTAGAGCTCTTGAAAATACTGATCCCTGCATTAGTTAGAGCAAGACTGCTTGTGTATCTAAAGCTAAGTGAATCTCTGGGTTATTTCAGTAAACCTGACAGAGGCAACTGATGCCTGGGAAGATGAGCCTAAACTTCAGACATTATTTGCAATTGTAGCTGTCCTAATTTTGTAAATGTCGTCTAGCACTGCTAGAAACAGCCGAAAATTGCTAAACACTCAGTTAGTAACATACAGGACTCAAGAGGGAGACCCTGAGAACCATGATTTTATTGAAGGAGGAACGATTCTGGACCTGATATTGGTGTATTATTTTAAAACAACCTGCCTACTCTTGCTTGTTTTCCTTGGGTAATGGGTAATTTTGGTTTCATTTGTTTATTGTGGTACCCCTGTTTAGACAAGGGTCTGGCTAATGCATCATTTTCTGTTGTCTGGGTTTGCTAAACCAGCATCATCTGTCACATGGAAAATCGAAAAGCAGATATAAAGAGCTGTGGCATTTCACATAATCAGAAGCTGTTTTCCAAAGCTTTCATGCCAGTGAATAGAGTGAGGATTCTGCATAAGTCCCAGTGCAATCACCTGGAGTCTTATGGCAAGTGTGAAAAGATCGGCAGCCAATATGTTTGCTTGAAGCGTGCACTTTTTCTCCTGTGAGTCAGGGCTGTATTGCTCTGATCTGGCCTTTCTGCTTTGAAAGAACTCCTTGGAGAGAAGGGCAAACATTTACTTACTGACTTCCTGTATTCATTTTGTTTTCTGAAGGAGATTATTCTGGACTGACATGGGGGTCAATCCGCGGATTGACAGCTCTTCATTAGAAGGCTTTGATCGCCGGGTGGTAGCCAGCACTGGCCTGGTGTGGCCCAGTGGAATAGCTCTTGACTACCTGGCTGACAAGTTGTACTGGTGTGATGCTAAACAGGCCATGGTTGAGAGTGCAAACCTGGATGGTTCTGGTCGTCGAATTCTTGCACAGAATTATGTAGGTGAGGTTTTGGGGTTGATAATTACCTACTGCTGCTTGTCCACGTGTGTGTGCATTGGCATATGTGCATGAAAATTACTGGCCAGCTGTTGTGCTATATATCTCATACTATGCTGAGGTTAATGACAACACTCAAGCTCTTAATTCTGTTACCCAGCTTTGTTCATTTTATCAAAAGTAGTCTTTCTAACACTCTCTGATTTTATTAAGGAGTCACTTTGCATTGCACAGAGATATTTTCTGCCTTTATAGAAAAATGAAAATAATAAAAAAATTTAAAATGTGATTTGCTTTTCCCATGCATGGCTGCTTAGTTTAATTCAGGCTTTGCTGTGTCTATTGCATCAGTGAGTTATATTGACGTAAGAAGAAAGGGAATTAATCAGGGTCATTAAGGTCCTTGAGCAGCAAACTTGTATCTGCAGTGTTGAACACTGGAAGGATTCTAAACACACAATACATAACAAATGAAAAATTATTTTAGAATATGCTGGTAGCTTTTATGGCTAAGATTTCTACTGCTTGACCCAAAACTGTGTTGTTCTGGAGCAAGAGAACAGAAGTGTTAGCAACAAGGAACTGATGTTGTACCAAGTCTAAAGTAAACCATGTGTTTAAGAATCTTGTACATAGTGAATTAGTTTCTCAAGAGGACAATTCCTTTTGATCATGGGGTCTCTCTGGGGACTATTTTGTAGATGTGCATACAAAACATGGGGAGTGAGGACTCATAGCCCAATACCATGACTGCCGTGGATCACTTTATGGTTACTCTGTCAAGCAGCCTCTGTTCTAGTCTGTGCTCTTGGAATGCTTGTGTTCATCCCCTAAGCTAGATACCTCCCAGTCCTTTGGAGGTGAGCAGAGTGAGGTCCTGGAGGAATCAGTGTTCTCCAATTTATAAGACATCAAAAGGCCCGAGAGAAGAGACTTTCCAGCCTTCTTCTCTCTTCCCTTGCTGTACATATTCTGCCATATGCTCTACCTTGCAGCAGATCTGCAAAGGAGGTCCTTGAAATCTGATCAAAGTTTTATTTTGTTTCTTCACAAGGAGTAAGACAGTGTCTTACAGGGAGAGAACAGAGAAAGAGAGCTAGGAAACATGGACTAAGAGAAAGGAGCAGTGGTACGGCTGTTTGGAGGTGAGAATAAAGGACATCAACATCTGTTAATGGAAGTGAAGTGAAAGACATTAAGACCCTGTAGGGGTATGAATTTAGAGAAGCATGTCCTGATCATTTGCTAATGCTGTTAGTGAAGACTGAAATTCAGTTTTTGTTCTTGAACAGTTGTACAGTGAGTGGGAAGGTGGCACCTCTTCATAGGTGTTCTGCTGTAACATGAATTTTTATTACAGCAGCTCCCTCTAGTGCCCTTGTACTGAGAGCTCATTGAATAGACCTGCATGTAAAATAGGTAAATTATTTCTGCTCTTCCACCTAACCCCGTTTTTGGCTGTAATAACCTGCCCAAGGCAACGAAGAACACAACCATCACTTTTTTTTATGCAGTGGGTCGGATTTGCACTATTCCAGCTATCTCCATTGACTGACACTACACTTCTGATTTTAATCCTTAACGTATTTGCAAAATAAGAGGTTAATAAATTGCTGGTCAAAGCAGGGTGCTGTTTGTGAATACTGAAAACTACAGATCCTAAAATTGTGAGGAAATGTTTGGGTGAGGACAGTATCTAGATCTTGGTCTAGTTCAAATTTATTGGGAAGAAAAGGTAAGAGCCAAGATCAGTGATAAAGCATGGCTCAGTGGAGGTAGTGAGGTGCCAACAATACACTTCAACATAACACTAAAGAACACTTAAACAGTGTCTTAGAATTTTTTTTGTAAAGGACTGTTTTTTTCAGTTTATTTGTGAGGTGAATTTAAGGTATACCAACACATACTCCTTCCCCAAGGTTCTAAATGTTATCTCTTGTTTTGTTTTCTTGTTTGTTTGCCTTTGATTTTAGTTTTTTTTAAGCTAATACATGTTGGGATCCCAATTTCATTACTGAAATTAAACATCACCTAGTTGAGTTCTACATCAAGAAGCAAAAGAACACATCATAAAAATCATGTGCTTAAAAAACACCTTTCAGAAGGGCTCAGACTGCAGTGGTAGATGCAGCGTCACTAAAGCTCTAAGGACCACAACAAGACAAATCTGCTTCAGTCTGGAAACATCCACTCTGAAGCCAGGTGTACATCCATGGAAGAATAGCATGTGTTCTTACCTTCCACTGCAAAAAGCTTGCCCAAAGGCTACCTTGGAAGCAGGAGATTTCTGAACGTATAGAAAAAGTGCATAGTCCCATATGGACTAATGACAATTTTCATGAGAGATTAGAAAGAGTCAGAATCACTTTATAAAGATCTTTATGTCTGTCATTATTTATATGAAATTGTCCTTTGGATTCTGAATTGCTGAGCTTACCTCTGGAAGTCAAACTAAGGATCTGAGTTTTCCTAGTGCAGATAATGTGCTAACAAGGAAAAGTTCCTGTGCTCTGAACTTGGGGTGGAATTTCTTGCAGCTACTGTTAGTCCTGTAAAGGGCTATGGCTAGGCCCTTGTGTTAGAAGTTGATTTAAATGCAGAAAATGCTTTCTTTTACAGGATTTCTTCTGTATGTTCTACAGATGTGGAAATGATAAACCTCATGTCTTTGTAGGCCACCCTTTTGCTGTAGCGGTGTTTGAGGATCACCTGTGGTTTTCTGACTGGGCTAGGCCATCTCTAGTGAGGGTGGACAAGAAGACCGGCCAAAACAGGGTACGTCTTCGAGGCAGCATGCTGAGACCCTCATCAATGGTTGTAGTTCATCCTTTGGCGAAACCAGGTATACTGCAAAAATTAAGCAGTCATTCCCTTCCAGCCTCCTCTTGTTCACTGATATCAGTAGAATAGTTGTCCTTGAGTAGAGGATTATCTTCTCAGAAACAGGCTCTTTAAAAAGCCTTGCATAGTCAGACTGGAATTTATTGAAAGCATCATCTGGGCATGTGTCCCAAGAATGCTGACAGATTTATGTTCATGCCCAAGAATAGATGCTGATCAATTGCCATGAGGCTACCACAATCTTCTAATTCCTATTTATCCTAGTCTATTAGCAACCCCCCACACGCCAATAATGACAAATGACATGGGGAAAGATTTTGTGAGATTTATTAGTTTTTGATCAAATAGTTTAAGTTTCTGTTGGGAACAGTCTCCCTGTAAGCAGAAAAGTGTAATTCAATAGACCAGGACTGAGAGAAGGTAATCACAAGTTCCTTATGTCCTTGAAATATTAGGACTCTAAATATTAAAGGAGACACAATAAAGGAAATAAAATTTTTAAAATGTGATACATGCATTAGATACAGAGTACATGAATCTCTTTTCCTGACAGGGCTAGGTGATATTATCTATGCTATACTATATGCATTTGTTGTTCTATTAAAAAAAAAATCCTAGTTTTTATCAGTCCTTATTCTTTTTCCAACTGCTTCAACTCTGCATATCTAAACAGAGATATTGACTGAAGAAGCAGCTTGTTAATTTTCCTGTTTTTCTTTACTAGGGACAAATCCTTGCCTTTACGAGAATGGAGGCTGTGATCAGATCTGTGAAAACAATTTTGGAATTGTCCACTGCAAGTGCCATCCAGGATTTGGGAAAACTCAAGATGGAAAATCCTGTCATGCTCTGGATTCTTCCAACTCAACAGCAGGTACAGTCCTTCAGTTCCCAAAAAGACCCCCTCAAACCCTCAAGGATCCTGAGAGATAGCACTGGAAAAATCCACCTTGCTCTAACATGATAGTTTCTCTGAAGAATGAAAATGCTGGAGTATCCTTGGGACAACAAGAAAACAGACATGTTGTCTGACCACTGTAATTTTTCCCTTGGCATTTTAACAGTGTGTGTGAACAGTGTGAAAAAAGTGTGTGCAATGCTGACAAGTATTGTGGGCCACAAGCACATTTCTTCTCTTTTGTATTTGAGAAAACTCATCAGTGAGTGCTTTTCGGAATAATTTGATGCCACAAACAGGTTAGTCTGGGATGATACTGAAGTTTATTTCAAAAGGAAACCACCATGGTTATAGGAAAGGAGACAAGTATTTGAAAATCAGGCGGCTATTTCAGTAGATTTAAATAGTCCATTTAACTTTTATCTTGTCTTTTTCAGGAAGGGTTTTTGTGCATAAGGAAGTAATGCCAATGCCACCACAAGAGACTGTGCTCCAGAGCACACGGATTTTTAAGGATGCAGACAATGGAGAAAAGCAGAAAATAAATTTTTTTATGGCTGAAATCATGGTATCAGGTAGAGTTTGATGGTTATCTTCCTGTGGTTACTTTGAGGCTCTGAACAGATTTATAGAGAAGAAAGAAGTCATAGACCTTAAAGAAAGAAAGGTTCATTGTTGAGACTGGTAGTATTCATGCCCTTAACCTTCTAACAAGAATTTAGATCTGTGCAATTATTCCAGATAGAACTGTTTTTTTTGTTTGTGTCTATATTCCTTGGCTATATCAACAAAAATTGATAATATTATCTTGGTCTAGGGAAAAAATATTTCTAATTTGGAACACTTGTGAAAGTCTCTCCTTCAGGTTTTAAAATATATTGCATTCCTCTAAAAAGTTAAAATAAACCCATTGAATTCTATATCTCTTTGAAGATACTAGATCATTAAATTTTGAAATAGATTTTGAATAAAATATTCAGAAATCCTGATACTAAATGATATGTCAACTCTATCTAGACAAAGAGAACAGAAGCAGTGCTTGTATTGGCCTGTCATTATTAATCCTGGAGAGCTAAGTTTTAAACTTTAACTCTATGTTCTGGTTTTTTTAGTTGTTTGTTTTTCTATAGTATAGATATACACCACGTCCTTCAATGTTTCCAAATACATCTAGTAGTTTTTTGTTTGTTCTGCTTATGCTATAGATGAAGACGACTGCACTGCACTAGAATGTTATGTCAATGCAGAGTGTGTTTTGCTGGAAGATGGTGCTATGTGCCAGTGTTTGAAAGGATTTACCAGGAAGGGGAAATCATGCTATGGTAATAAAAAACATTATTGTAACTTTTGAAAAATTGTAGACTGGGGAGGAGGAAGAGAATCTATCTCCTTTCACATTGGCAGCTCTGCTGTGTGAGGCATAAGAGAAAGATCAGTAGTATGAAAGGGGTGATGAACAGAGAGCATGTGAGATGAAATGGCTAATTATTCCATGCCTTTTTTCCCCTTGAGCCATAAGTGTTAATCCTATTAATAGTAACAAACAATAACATAGATTATAGAAGTATAATGTATTTCTTTGTAAAAATTGGCTAATTGTAAAAACTCAGTCCATAGACATGATAGTTAATGTATACTTCAAAGTTAGTATTCCTGATGTAATGTTTATACGTAAGTGCTGCTCTACTTTCTTTATAGCACTAGAAAAAGACTCTAACAGCCATGCAAAATATTTCTCAGGGTGGTCTTTAAGCTTCTGGACTTGTTTGCAACATAAATGGAAGAACTGTTTTGCTCTCCCAAAGGTCGAGAGAAAAAGGTGTTAGAAAGGAAAATACCATTTGGTGACTAAGCATTAAGACTCAGAAGAATCTGTTACTATGGAAAGGGGAAAAAAACTGTAAGCCGAAACAGGCATACATCTTTTTTACCATAGTACTTTTGCTTTATTTAAGCCCATGTATTCTTTCACAGAACAAAGTTTCTAAATACTCAGAGGCCTTTCCAAATTAATGGATTCTATGATTCTATAACATAAAGCCATTTTTGAATCATTTTCTCTGTATAGGTTTTTATTAAGCAAATGGTATTGTGATCTCCAGGTGATCGTACGTGGTTGACTGTCTCAGATTTTAGAACACCTCCATCAAATTTCATACCAAAAATGACCACAAAGTTCTTCTCTTCCCATTTGCTTCACATGCACAAATGCCAAGTGGTGGCAGCACAGTCTGAGTGAGATCCACGGTGCAGATGTTTCAGTGATTGATGTGATGGTTTCCTGACCCAAGTGTCCTGTCCCTTGCTCTGTCCCTCAGACGTTGACGAGTGTGCTGTACACATGGACCGCTGCAATCGAAGCGTGTCAGACTGTATCAATACGGAAGGGGGCTATGTCTGTAAATGCCTGGAAGGCTACATTGGAGATGGAGTCCATTGCTATGGTATGGGCATGTGTCTCTGTCTGGAAGGCTGAGGTATTTCTGCCTTTGTGATTCCTTCCTCCCTGTTTAAAGTACGGTAACCTCAGCAACTGATCAATATGCAAAGCTTGTAGTTGTCAGTGAATATCTCCTTCTCAGTGTTTGCACTCTTTTTAGTGCCTGTAGAAGGAGAGAGAGGAAGAGTGAAGGGGAGGAGGGAAGTGGAGGTGAAGCAGTAGAGCTTTATTGGAAATCATTGCCATGAATATAAACGAAAGCAGGTATTGAGTGTGTCATAATACTCATCAAATAATTCCAGGTCTGTTTAATAGGCATGAGGTTCAAAGTGTGACACTGACAACTTGAGTACATTTAGAGTCTTGTTCATAATCAGACCCACTGATTTTCCCATCCAGCTCTAATGCCGAGTCTTTAGTTCATTCCCTACGTCTCTTAAATTCTTAATCCATTTTAGTGGTAAATATGAACAGGAAGCTTTTTCTCTCCAGTATTTGACTAGCACACAGTTTGTTCAGAGCTTTATGAGTGTCTTCCTTCTCTTTTGTTCTTTTCTTTCCCTTTTTTCCTTTATAGCCTAATTCAAAGCCCATTAAATTCGAACCAATTCTTACATAATCTCTACTGGACTTGGTTCTTCAACGCTGATTAGGATGACTGAAAAATTAAGAACAATATAATTATTATGGGTAGAGTGTGGAAAGTATCAGAGGCAAAAGAATCAAGAAAGCCTTTTACCTGAAGGGGTCAGAGACAGAGCTCGTGTCTTTGAGGGTGCTTGGAAGTGCACACAGAAGTGACAAGGTCCTCTTTCTGACCCAGCACAACCTAAAAGAAAGTCCTCAAGCAGCTCTAGGCTCTTACTGTCTTACCACTGTACTGTGGTATAGTTGTTCAGGATGTAGTACCTTCCACTGCTATTGAAAAACAGTCTATTATCTTCCTGAAGTCTTGAAGTCCAGAAAATAGATTCTCAGTGTTTTATAAAAGATGCAATATTACTAAGATGTAAACATAACTGAAACTAGTTTTGTGTTCGATGTCTTGAAATGTACTATGAAAACCAGAAACTGGTTTTGTGCTTCAGTTTTAAGTGCCTGCATGCATGCACAGTGTCCAGGAATGTGACCGTATGTCCAGTGATAACACATGATGAGTTCATATTGTGTTGGTGAAATCACATTTCTTGAAATATGCTGCAGTAGTTGTGTTCCCTGCCTCCCCCCTCCATTTTTTTTTTAAAGTGCTTTGTATTTTCAATACTGTTTTGAGCCAGATCCTGTTAATTTTACTGTAGAAAAATTTCCAGCAGTTTAAGTAATCATTTCACAGAAGTTGAGGTAGCACATCTGTGACTCCCCAAAGTAGATCTGGCACATATGTTCTGCTCACTTTTCATAAAATGAATCAGAGGCTCCCAAACTCTGCTATGTGAACCAAAGGTTTCACCTTTGAGGGAAGTGCTTCGGCACTTAGCAAGGTGCAGGTGGCCAGCCTGGCAGGAGCTGCTGCCGTGGGCTTTGCAGGGAAGGTGTGGAGGCAGGAGGAGGGTGTGCAGCAGAGTGGGGGTGAGAGATGTATACGAACATAACATGGGCTCTGAGCCTGGAAACTCTTGTAGTCAGGGAGCCTCTTCACAGTCATTCAAAGCCTCACTCACTGAAGTGTTTACACAAACTGAATAAACCTGTAGGTTTCTAGACACTTTTATTCTGCCTAAACTCTTTGTTAAGCCGAACTAGGTGGGTGGTACAGGGGTGGGGAGCTCCCCGCTCCTGAACCTTTCTGCTGTGTAACTACAAGAATGCCAACATATGGATCCAGGCTGCAAGCTATGACTAGCAATGTCAGGAGAATACATCTGGTACAAATAAGCCTCCTCTTCAACTCTGCTGTACTTGTTACATTTCATGGGAAAGCCTTTCCCTCCTTCTCCCCATGGAGACTTTCTGCAGCAGGACAGCATGCTCTTTCTATGGAAAGTGTGCTGGTTACTTTTCCATTAGGCTTTCCATGAAGGCATATTTGCAGTTTTGGTGGTTTTGGTGTTTTTCCCCACTGCCTGGGGAGTGCAGTGCTGCAACTGCTGCCCTTTTAACCAATGCTCTGAGGCATTTCACTCTTGTAACTGCAGACTCTTTGGGTGACAGATATTGATGAGTGCAAGATGGGGTCCCACACCTGTGGAGAGAACACGACCTGCACAAATACAGAAGGAAACTTCACTTGCTCATGTGCTAATCATGCTGCTGGGACTGGCATCGGTTGCAGTGAGTAAACGGAGTGAGCAAATAAAGTGAAGTGGCCCTAAATTAAGAGCTGTGTCCTTGGATAAGTTGTTCTACCTGGAAACTAAAGGATCCCTGTAGAGTAACATCCTGACCAGCTTGTGGATCCATTCAGCATTGCCTTTAGGAGGCTGTTTTGTGGTGGACTAAGGAGAACAGATCAGAGTTTAGTTAGGAAATATCTACCTTAAGGTTCAATGTAAATTTTTACTGTCTAAATGTAACAACAAATCTATCAAATGTAATTTAAAATCAACAGCAGCAGTAAATGCTCCTTGGAAGTAACTTTTTTGAGGATAATTTCAGTCTGTGCCATTTTCCAAATTTTCTGTGCTTTCTGTTACTGTTCAGGAGGCTAGCATAGGAAATGCACATTATTTAAGTGCTCTTTGATTCTTCAGTAAAAGCTTGTCTTTCCAGCTACTAATTGTTCAAAAGGGCTCTGAAACTCCTTAGAAAATCTGATTACCAATTTACTGAAGGGAACTGCTAAAGTTTCAGCACTAGTGAGTACCTGGCCCTCGTTTTAGTGCCTCAATGTAGTAGCAGCATTCTCTGAAAACGAGAATGGCTCTTATTTTAGTCTATGTCAGCCCTCTTGGTCACAGTGAATTTTACTCCAGATTGAGTGACTTTCTGATGATGGAGGGACATTGTGTGATTGTCACAGAGCTGTTTCTTCAGAAAAACAAGGAAATTGTTGTTTGAATTTATTGTATTTATTGGCTTTCTTAAATAGAACACCTATCAGGATTCCCACTCCCATTTCAGTCACCTAATCTTTCAGTAGTTTCAGGTGTCACTCAGGAAATGATGATTTCAAAAGATGTATGACTTGGAAGTAATGTTTCCTAGGTCCCTCATCTGTCAGTCTGACCCCATGTCTCTATAGACGTTAACACACTGTTTTAGTTCTTTGCCTAATAAGCTCTTTTAGCAAGATGAAATTTTCTTTGCTGAATGCATGCACACCTGGAGTTCACTATAATCATTCATTCCTTCCATTCAGGCTCTTTGCTGTGGCAGTTCTCCAGCAAATGAAATTTTAAAACCCAAATGTCATTGAAGGTCATGTTGCCATAAAATTGATGTGAGTCATAGAACTGACCCCATAATTGTATGAGAACGATTAGGCTCTGCTAATCCATACTGCCAGAAATTCTTTGCCATGTAGCTGTTCTGTTCTGACCTACAGATTTGTTGCCGCATCAAAGAAGGCATGAAAACACTCCTTTTCTGTAAGCCATGTCTGCACTATGGTCATGCAATGCAGAGATATTAGTGCTACCTTTAAAACTAGCTAGTTTGGATAGGTGTGTAGATGGCAGCAGGTGTGATTCAGAGCAGACTGCAGAACCCTTTGGCAGAACCATAGGGCTTCCTGCTCCCCCAGTGATGCTGTTATCTGCACTGAGACAGCCTGAAACAATAAAAAATGTGGTATGCCACCACACACAGGTGCAATTAACTGGATGGCAGCAGAGTAGAAACAATCTGCATAAGAATGCCAAATTGCTTGTGAAAGCTTCTGAGTCTGAGATCCAGCTGCATGAAACACAGTCACCTCTACTTCTCACTCTGGTAATTTATGCATGGTAAAGATTTACCATATGCCAGAACCGCATAAGTTGCAAAAATAGTTTCAGAGTAAGCACCTAGACAATTGGTGCAGTTTTTCTTCAGAGCTGGGCTAACACATCTAAACACACTCAGTCAATTACTGTAGGTCTTTCACTAAAAGTCTAAAATCAAGCATATTTAGTAATTTGATCTAAATTTCTGCTTGCATAATTTGATAACAACATAAGAAAATAGGTTAAAAAAAATAGAAATTGGATATTTTTACCTAGTTAAGTACCTTGAAGTTCTGGAACACTTTCATAACATTATGTTGCCAATGAGGCCAAAATCTGAGATGTCCTTGTGAAACCCTCTATTTCAGAATCTACTGTTCCCCCAACTGCTATCAGCAATGAATACACTACCAACGCTGTGCAAGGTGATATTGTAGGATGCCCTCCTTCGTACGAGTCATACTGCCTCCATGGTGGAGTGTGCAATTACGTTTCTGATCTACAAGACTATGCCTGCAAGTAAGTACAGAAATTTTTATTTTCTCTGCTGAAGAATGGCATCCTTGGAATGTTATTCCCAGTTAACTGCAGGCAGTGAAGAGTTTGTCAGTGAACGATCTGTTCATCATTCATGTTACTCATATAACATTCAAATCTCCTTCTTCCTGTGAGGAGTGATCATTGCCATTTTCAGTACATGGCACATTCACACCCATTGCAATTAATAGTAGGATTGGATTTGTTCCCTAAGCGTTTGATTCTTTACTTTGGTTTTGAGAGGTAAGTTGTTAAATGACTTAAAAGAGGTGCTTGCTCTCTCTCCTGTACATGTCATGCTGACTTGCACCTCCCTATTGGCCTTGCTGTTCATGTGTAGCATTCACTGGGATGGAAGAGGAAATCCCTGTCTTGTCTTCTCTGACTGAGGCCAGGGAGTAATCTTCTGGTGTCAGCATCTTCCATTACAGAAAAGCAGAAAAGAGTAGGATATAATTGCCCTCTTAAAAACAGGAACAGTTGCAATGTGGCCTCAAGGTTGAGACCTACTTCCCCTGTCAATATTTTTAATCCTGTCAATATTTTTGTGAAGCCTAATTCTCGGTTCCCCAAATGCAGGTACTGATAAAAACAAGGAGAATCTCAATTCTCCAGAAGTCAGCCTTAGCTTGGTCAATGTGACAACCTAGTCCCATGGGGTAATAATTTCTCCAAATTGGTGCTGGCATTTAAGTGTGTAACCTGATTATATTTGAAGATGTACTCAGAAAAGTTCTTCAAAATCAAGCATAAAATCTTTACAATGGGACAAATCCAATGCCTGCCTCCTCCCTCAGGGTCACAGGTGGTAGGTGAGGACCTGCTCAGGGGGTGAATGCTGTTCCAGGGCAGGCAAATCTCTCTCTGTGCCTCAGGATTTCCTATTTTGAAATATGAGTGGTCTCCTCTGCCTACAGACTTCAGTACCTGTAAGAATATGAAAGGAATGTGCCTCATGTACACATATGGGAATGAAGTCAATGCTTTGTGCTGTGGATTTCTTGAGCTCAGCAAAGCCCTTAGGAAAAGACATTACAGGAGACAGACTCATAGTCATCTCTGGTACTTGTTTTGAATTTTTAGTGTAACCTTTAGAGGCACAGTAAACTATTTTCACTTCAGAAGTTTATTCTCTTGAAATTGAAGAGTCTAAACCTGCAGAACTTTCAAATTGGACCACTTTCTTTTTCTTTTATTTGTTAGGTGTTAGTGCATAATGAGAATTCAAATGTATATATCTTTCCGTTTTGGAAGTGGAAGCAGTTAAAAAATTTAAGAGCAACCATGCTTAGCCACGCTGTTGGTGTTTTTGTGTGGCCGTTGCTGGATTCTGTCCCTGCTGAATCTTCACTAGATGGCAGCATTCATTCACGTAGGCTGTAATGGATTAACTACCAAAAGGAGGGAATGGAAAAATGTTATCCAGCAAAAATCACATACCAAATATGATTTGTATTTTAATTAATAAAAGATCTTACACGAGAAAGTTGATCTGCCAGCATGTTTGAAATTCAGTGTAATTTAACATTTAAAAATTAGCAATTTTTTCTGCCTTCCAGCACATATGCATTCTAAATTGTAACAGAATGAGAGTGCTTGTGCCCAACTTAATAATGAATGCTGATATAACGTTTTCATCACATTGGGTAAAAGCTGCTGCAGGTCAAATCCTGCTTCTTTTTCTCATTTGACTAGCTCTTGGACTTGAGTAAAATTAGACCAATTAGAATTGTGATGAGTTGAGCCTACATTGCTGAGAGATTGTTATTAACTGAGTAGATGTTTCTTTTTTTCTATTTATTATTTATGTGTCTTGCCTCGCATAGTAAAACTAGGCAGGGATTATTTTTTGATGTATTTCTCACTTTCTAGTTATTTTGATTTGAGGGTTTCATGCATCGATAGGATATTTCTATGTGTGTTTTACGATGGTAAAACCAACCAAATAAATAAAAACTGCCTACAGAAGAAGCTTATATTAAAAGTAAGTCTTGAAGATATTTCTAAACCTTATGTATGGTTTTTTTAAAACACTTTCATTAATCTTTAATTTTAAAGTAAAGATTCAGATTAAAATTTGGTTCTCTTAATCAAGTCACTCTGAAAATACGAGTCAGTCCTGTACTGCCTATTTTAAAGAAACGGAAGCTTGCTGCTGAAAGAAGTTAAATGGAAAATCCTAGGGAAACACTAATCACACAGCAGGATTTACAGGATTTAAGAAAATTTCTTTTTCTACTTTTTACCCATAGGAATCTGGTAATGACAACCTCTCTGTATAATTCTATAGGTGATTCAATACCAGTAAAAATAACAGTACAAAAAAAAAAAAAAAACGTTTAATACTGGGTTCTACCGGTTTCGACAGCATTCCTTTAAAATAATTTTGTCTTCCCCACTGCTAAACTCAACCAGATGTTTCTGCAGTGAATCGGTGGTGAATCAATGCTCACGGTGACTGAAGTGGTGGTCTGGGGGCTGTGCCCTGCCACCCCTGCAGCGTGTGCCCTCTTTCCCTGGCAGCTGTGTGACAGGATACGTGGGGGAGCGCTGCCAGTTCAGCGACCTGGAGTGGTGGGAGCAGCAGCGCTCCGGGCGGGCCAAGGTGCGGAGCATCGCCATCACCGCCTGCGCCGCCGGGCTGGCCCTGCTGGCCCTGCTGCTGGGCGTCCTGGCTGCCTTCTGCCACAGGTACACACGGGCTGGGCTTGCCGTCTGCTGCTGCTGCTGCTGCTGCTGCTTGCTGCTCAGCTGATGGGAATTCCTATTCTTGCTTTCCAGTAACCGGGTCTGTGAATAATACAGAAAGTTCTGGCATGGCCCTTGCCCGCAGAACTCATGTTGGTGTTAGTGAGCAAACCTTCTTCCTGGAGGGGAGAAGAATAGACCTTATTAGAGCTCAGGAGCACGCCATTTACTTCTTCCTGGGTTTACCTTCACAACTCTAGATGTCTGAAACTGTCATGGTAGGGGTTCGCTCTTCTCTGCCAGCTATTCAATGAGTTGGCTTTTGTTTCCCATTCAGTGTAGAATTCCACCTGAAAATTTCTTTGTCGTTGAGAAAAGCAGCCTACTAACCTTCCCAAGGCAAACTTACACAGTGATGGTTTCAGCAGTGAACAAGGAAACAGTTTTCCTGGTAGCAGAGAGAGTAAAATCAGGGAAGTGACTCTAAGCACATCTGTTGTAAAAGTACTCTCTGGCATTTCTCATAGCTGTAATGAATTGCTAAGATTTGGGATTCTTCTTGTGTCAAAAAGAATTCCAATGGTCACTATTTAAGAACCCAGTCTGATGAGAAATTAAATGTCATTGGTGTCCCTTAGACTGGAAAGTATTAAGCATTTAAGCTAGAGTCTTTTGGCCATGACCTTGACAGACAGCTGTTCTCAGAGGCTGATTTAAACACAAGGTGTTTGTCTGTGGTTTAGGTCAATTTTAAAATTAGACTCTGCTAGACATATAAAGTTAAGCTACAAAAGAAGTTAACTATGCAAGTTAATATTTTCCATTCTTATTTAATAGTTCTTGGCATATGTAGTCCATAAAACTAGGGAAGCTGCAACATTTCTTATTTCCTATTAATTAGTGATAGGGGTCCAGAATTAAGGCTAAGTGCAGTCTGTTTTTTTCTCATAACCCAGGGTTCAGATTTTAATGAGTGGATATATGAAGAACAGAAATTTTCTGAGATTCTTATATTTCTCATATATTTCATATGTCCTGTTATGAAAAATAGACAGAATATTATTTGTTTAAAGGTATGAAGGTATTAAATTTCTTCCCTTCCTCTCTCTTTTGTAATTTCTCCCAGATTTATGTTTCTTTCTTGCCAAATGCTTTTGATCAATATAACTATTTACCACAACAACAGGTTTTCAATGACACACTTGACTGAATTTGAACTGCAGCAATTACTAGTATATCTAGATAAAAATTAAACCACTGATCTAGAATCCCTATTTAACTGGAGTCTGGGAACCAGTATTTGGGTTGAAATTGCTATACCACTTTTTCAGATAATCTCCTGTATTTCAAAATGTACCAATTAAGTCTCTAATAGTCCCATTCCTTCCCCTGCAAAATGGAGATGCCTATCTCCTTTTAATTAAGGGAAATGAAGCTGGAGGTCTACACCTGCCAATTTGAAAATGTGGGCGCTGAGGGCCAAGAGTGCTGAAGTATCATATTGGTTTTTGTTCAATGACTTGTCAGCTGAAGGGCACTCTGTTATTCTTAACGTTAGGTTTATGCAGTCTGACTGTACAGTATGCCAAGTTTCTTATCTTCCTTGGGAAGTAAGGAAACAACTCTTTTCCACAAATAAAACCAAACCTGAATCACAGATTCAGCACCAACAATTCCTCCACCTCAGTTGGCCAAGGCCAGACAAAGCAAAATTTATTTACGTTGGATTTTCGTGAAGGGAGCAATATACGATAATCATGCTTTGTGAGCTTTCCCAGTTAGTAGATAAAAACTATGCAGAAATAAAAGGAAAGTTCCTAAATAAAAGGAAAATTCCTATTGTCTTTGGTAAATATCTACTAAATTTTATTTAAAATAGATCAAGCAAAAAGATATTATAATCTCAGGTTTCCAGAATTTGAAGACTACAACAATGTTAATTTTGTTAGCTGATGCTTAGAAGGTCAAAAATATATATGTAAATTGAATAAAGATGTACTGTTTTGGATCTCAAGAGAAGTAAAATAAATTTTTTTGCTTGGACGTATATGGGCTTTTAATACTGCCTTATAAGTGATTGCTGTTTAACTTCAAAAATAATAGTCTTTGAATTTATGGAACTAGCCTCTTAGAGCTGATTATCCATACCTTTTCCAGCTCCAGACTGTACTCTTAGCTTTTTCCCCTAAATCCAGTTCTGTGGGACATGAATTTTTCCTGGAAGATCTTATTTCCAAGCTTTTTGAGACTTTCAGTTTGTTTATTTCATAGTAACTTCTGAAACTGTCGCTTTGCATAAATGATGCAGATGAATACAAAAGTGACTTTCCTAGTTATAGTGTACATATAGTGTACATATAGTGTACATATAGTGTACAAAAATACAGTCAGATTTTTATTTCTGAGCTTCACCCACAAACACTCTTCATTGCATTGGCCGAAACAAATCTTTATAAGAAGAATAGTGTAAGAAAATGGAAGGAACTAGTTACAATTTTGAGGCCTATTGTTCATTCCGATGAATGACCCTTCACAGATGGCACATTAGAACAAGTATTTCTACACTTCTTGCTGGCTTCTTTTCCTGACAAGCTATTTGTTTTATCCACTGTGTGGTAATGGATAGCAATACACAAACCAGTGAGAGAAAACAAAATATATGTGCTTCTGTGAATACTGATAGAATAACGTGAAAAAAGCAGCATCTGTTCCTCTCAAAGCAAAATAATTTGCTTCGGGTTTTGTTCTTTTGCAGAAGTCAGAATCTGTATAAGAAGAATCTCTGTGCAGAAGTGATAAGAGCCACCAGCAGCCGTGCTGACAATGAGAGCGTAACACCTACTGGCAACAAGTCTCTGGTAACTATATTAAAGTGGAGTGGAGAGGGAATCAGGAAGGATCAAAGAGCGTTAGGGATCCACTTGAGATTATCCATCAAATTATTCACATCTTAAATACATTAAATAACTGCTAGAGTCATCAAGTGCTTTGCTGTGAACCCTAGTTCATCTTACCTCATTGTTATCCCTCAAAGTTCACAGCTGCCTGGATGTATTGCAACCATTAGCCAGTGTTATTGTTAGCTTTGAACACAACAGTTGGTGAACTGTGTTCTAAATTGAGGAAATGGCAATGTGATGACATGGCATATCACACAGTTATTTTCACAGGAAAGTATGCCCTCTGTAAAAAAGCCTTCTTGGAAGCCAAGTATTGTGTGTGCTACATGAGATGTTGAACTCTATTTTGAGGCTTGATGAAATTAAATGTCTTGTATTAGAATCTGCTGCCTTGTAAAGAAAAACAACCAGGATTTTATCAGGCAGCTTGATAGGATATATAAAGTTCCAATTTTACTCTGGTGTAGGTAAGAATGACGACATGGTCTGATAGTACAGGCCTGTAACTGTTGTCATGTTTGAAGCTGTATTTAGCCCTATAAAATCTCGTGTAAGGACATGATTCTGACTGGCATTAGAATAACATTACAGTCCTGGGTGATTGCAGTTGGAACTTGAAGTTGTCAAGTGACATAATTGGCATCCGTGGCTACTTCTGTGCTCAATCTGAGACTCTTAGAATGGCCTCACCAATGATTTAGCCAGAGTGTCTGGCAGGATTTGTGAGTGGGTAGCCACTGAATCACACTGTCAAACATACATTGGTAGTACTGAATTGACTTGACCCTGGTTATGGCATATTGTTCCTTAGCTGGTCAACTGCATACTCTTACGCATGTTTTATTATCAGCACTTTTCCTTCAGGTGTTGGACAGCAATAATTTGTTCACACCAGAAGTAAAATCCAGAGTTTACAAAATACGTGAGTTTGAGAAAAGCAGAAACATTTGTTGGGAGTGAGAACAGTTCACTGCCTGGGAGCAGTGCTCTAGGAGGCCTGCACCCCAACAGCTCTGTCCCCACCTTCTGCTGACCCTGCAGTTAATGCTGGTCACCAGTGACATTTTTGCTGAATATAAGGTAAATAAACAACTAAGTTTAGTTGTTTAGTTACAACAAAGCAATGGACTGACTCAACGAATAAAAACCAAGCTTTCATATCTATTATACATCTGTGTTGCATTTCACTATGCACCAAGAGACATTGAATACATTAATAGAATAATTTATTGCAATGGCTTGGTGAAGAGGAAATCACTGACCCTTTGCTAATCACTGGCGCTTACTCAGTAATGGATTGCTGTGGTTTCATGCATGTGATTTTCTTTGTGCTGATGTAGCCATTGATCGTTAAGTTCACCAGGGCTTCATGCATGCATGCACTCAGGTTAGAACATCTAGAGCTGCCAAAGAGCTGTGGGATGTTTTCCATTTGTACTATTCACTTCAAATATGTTACTGGGGAGCTTTATGTAAAAAAAAAAAAGGTCAGGAACAGAAAGCTATAGCTGCTCAACTTTTAAGGTTTTTGGGTACTATTGATCTACACAACATTAATGATCTTAACAAAATCCTTCATGTTGAGACTGTATCTTGTGTATGCAGCAACTGTAAGGAGCTCATGAATTTCACTCATTTGGCTGGTCTCACTGCCACTGCTCATTTGTGAGGCTGATGAGAGAGAGTTCTTGCCTGTCTAGGTTGATGTAGAGGAAAACAAGATTTGTGCTATCACACACCTCAAATGTTAGGTATCATGATACTGAAACTATACCTAGAAATTGTCCAAGCATCATTCCCTTTAGTTCTTTTCTGCCAGGCAAGAGGGTGCAATTAGCTGAGGGTACATTTAGCTGAGAGTATGCCTGCATATTTTTTGACATTCATATTAGAACTCCATAAGCCAGGCCGGGTTAGTCCTACTGATTTGTAAACCTTGGAAAACTTCTGCACGTGCCTGGATTTTGATGCTATTCTGAGACTTCTCCTCCACCAAGTGTTTTGCTTTGCACAGTCAAATATATTTTGCAGAACTGTATTTAGCTGAATCTCTGCTGGGGGTTGGTCACATGTGGGTTAGCAGCTGTAAGAGTGAAGATTTTACATAAACGAACTGGTGCCTAAATAGTTGCACCTGCTACATGTGTATTGTATCTACGTAAATCCACCAGTTATCCACCTGGACCCCTGAATCTGTCAGTCCTTTTGCTGGAATACCTTATTTACAGATATTTTATCTTCTTCCCTGTCTGCTCTTTAAACCTCTCCCCTTTACTTGTTTTTCATCTTTTCCTCTGTACAATTTCATCATAGTGCTTCATATTTATTTTCTCTATCCGTGTTTTTTTCTGTTTTCCCCCTGGTCCTTTCAGCATGTTCCCCCAGAGGTCTCATTTTCTGACTTCCACTGTCACTGTGGCATGATGGAACTGCATCTTGCAGAAGATGCTGAGAGCCAGGAAGGGAGGCTTGCTTCCTTCCCTGTGTTTGACACAGTTTCCTGCTGTCTGGATTCCTGCAGATATCTTTAATACTTTAAAAATGGCCCTCAGTACTATGGAGAGAGTTGATTTTCATGAACTTTTGTCCTTGCCATTGGAAATGTTGATTTGCAAGGCAAGAGAGTTGGTAGCTCTTAGCAAGACTGAGACTGTGCACTTTCCAAAGAATAACTGGGGCTGTCATCAACTCAAATGTTTAATTATTGGCAGGGGAAGAATCATCCCAGAAGCCAGGATGACCTTTTTCCCCTGTTCTGTGGTTGGTGTGTGGCCCTTTTAGTTTGCCTCTTGGGTTTCAGAAAACCAATTCATTTTTTATTAATTTGGGCTCTGCATATTTTGTGCATATTGTATGTATTTGCAGTTTGCAGTTTTTAAGGAGGGTAACAGTTCTCTGGAGACTAAAGCAGTTGATCTAATTGAGTGTGAGACAGCAGATCCTCATCCTGCCTGTCCTTCAGAATCTGGTGAGTAGGATGTCCTTCCTTATTAGATCTCTCCTCACCTTGTACCAGCAGGAGCAGGCTGCTAGAGGAAACTGAGAAATCCAGATTTTATTTCTGGCAGAATCCATGTTTGTTTTGATGTGAAGAGACCATTCAGTATTGATGTGAAGAGACCATTTAATCCTTTATTTTGCAGATTAGTCATAAGAAACTACACTACAACTGTGCTTTCACACAGAACAAGCCGGAGGCTTCTTCTGATAGAATAATATCAGATGTTTGCATTAATATAGATCATCACAGCTTTGCAAGTGAAGTTATGCCCATCATACTGTTGGGGAATGGATATCCATGGAACTGTACACTTTGGCAGTCCTTATTTGTTCAGGCAAGATAACTGGAAAGGTGAGAAGAGTCCAGGTTTCACCCCATGGCAGCAACTGCAGTTCTGCTTTTTGTATTAAGCAAGGTATTTGACTGCCTGGGGGGTGTTTGGTGCTTAAACAAACATGAGATGAATGGAGATGCGCCTCTCATCACTGGTCCTAAAGCAGCAAGTGGCTCAGAAGCACAGAATGGGCTTCCAGGGTCCTCAAATTACCAGTTGAACCACTCTGGATTTTAGGAAATGCTGCCTTCCAGATGGCAACTGGATCTCTTAGTTGCTCAGATGGTGAGAATTGATGGAGAAAGACTAATACCCTTAGACATTTGTTTTATTTACCATGTATACTTCCTAATTGCAGAAGTTACTAGAGAAGCCAGTTTGCATCAGCCACTTAGAAATATGCAAATACAAATGTTTGAGGATACAAACATCCAGGCATCTTGCAAGATTTTCAGAATTGCCAGTCCTATCCTTAGACATACTTTGAGTAGTCACTTCATTCATCAGTTGAAAATGTGCCTCACATTTACTTAGACACACGAATATTGTGAACATGTGTAGAACCTTACTGTCCTGCAAAGAAAGACTGATGTTTCCCATTAGGAGACTGTTTTCACTTACAGCTTTATCAGATGCAGGTATTGGAACAGAAATTACCCATAACAGGTATCGGATTTTTCCTGAAAATTTTCTCTGAAGTGGTTCTACCCTCTTAGACAACATGATCAGGAAATAATCTAGTATTTTTTTAACATGTTAAAAAAAGTTCTTATGCCATGGCAGTGAATAATTCTCAGATCTTTCGACTTTGAAGCAGAGACTTTAATTTTGCCAGGCAGGTAGTCTTGGCATGCCTTTCTATAGGTATTAGAAGAGAAAGCTGTGAATCTATTCTAGGACAAGTAATTTCTTAAAATCTGAAGCGAGTTCTTGATTTTGCCTGCTTTTTTGTTCTTCTGTCATGCATTGGTATTGAATCTGATTCTGTACATTCTTTCATAACTTTCTTCTCTCAAAGCTGCCACTACATTTCTTTTAGCTTAGCTGTTGGGAATCTTTTCACATGGCTTTCAGTAATACATATCTGTTTTCTCCAGAGGAAGAACAGCCTGTAACATATGACAAAACAGCAGAGACTTTGGCAGAAGAGGAGAAAGAACAAGGCCACGGAAAAGAGGGTCCTCTTGGTGAGAAATCACCTCAGTCCACGGGAGCGGAGAAGGACTCTCCCCAGGCTCCCAGGAGCATCCATCCCAATTGCCTGCCAGTAAGGGAGCCTTGCAATCTTGCCCCAACCAGCTTGCTGATGCAGCCAGACTAGAAGTAATCTGCATTTGAATGGGAAAAGGAGGAAGTCAGCAAAGGATGAGAACTCACACACACTGAAGCAACACTCACTTTTGCATTAAAATCTGCTTCAGAAAAAAAACAGCATTATTCAGAACAAAACAGAAAAGTCCTTGCCACTCCTTCCCTGTCATCTCTGCTTGGAAAAATTACTGTGAGCAATGTGTTGGCGATGAGTACTCTATAAGTATCACTGCTGCTAACTTCATTAACTGCCTGCTAAAAGGTCACTGAGAGGAAGATAGCCAAGTGAGTGATTTGTCAGTGATAAGTATTTTCTAAGGGAGCTTGTTGCAAGTGGTGATCTTTACACACACAGAGTCTAGAAACTGCTTAGAAAATGGGACACAAGGACAGGTGCAGAGAAACAGGAATGGAGGATAATGCAGAAAAATTAGTTCAAAATCGATCTTACTATTAAAATATTTTTTATGGACACTATATGCCTCTCCCCAGAGCTGCTGACAGACCAGTGTAACTTCTTGGATTTCATCTGAGATGTCCTTGTGTCTAGCAAGTACCAAATAGGATCTTGCATTTCTCAGGTTTTGTGTATTGGAGGATGGTTTGCAGGCATATTAATTGCATCATTAATAACATATTATTAATGATGGGCAGCATTTGAAGGGAAAGGTGATTTCTCGTGTTTTTTTTTTTTTTTTTCCCCAGTCTATACTGGTCCTTCAGAGCATAACAGGCTTATTTCTGGGCTGAGAAAGTGGGTTTGTGTCTGCTTTCAGCCCTGCGGAGAGGCATGTGCTGGAGCTGTCCTTGTTTTACAGAGGTGTGCCTGGCACCAAAACCTTGTCCATTGTATAGGACTCAGTGTGAGGACAGAAGTCCAGCCAATTGCTGTTCCAAAAGAACAGAAGGAGTGGGACAAAACCACAAAAAAGCCACCTCAGTTTGGCCTGACTTCTACTCCACTGATTTCTGCTGCCTGTTAAATCTGAGGGAACAATTGGAAAACTGAACCAATTTTTCTTGTAACTGGATTCCTAACACCTATCAGGTTATTTACTCTCCTGTAAAGCTCTGTTGTATGCAGAGATGAGGTCAGTTGTTTATTGTGAGATTATCTTGGTTGGTGAGAGCATGGTGCTGATAACACCAAGGTTGTGGGTTCAATCCCTGTATGGGTCTTGCACTTAAGAGTTGAACTTGATGATCCTTGTGGGTCTGTTCCAACTCAGAACATTCTGTGATTCTGTGATATCAAGTGATTTTCACTAACTTGTCTTGACTTCCTGAGGCCGTTTTCAGAATGTTATGGAAGATACCTGGACATCAGCTAAATTGCTAATAATGATTTTATTATTTGTAGGGGATCTCTCAGTCCTCTGTTTCTGAAGCTTGCTGTTGTAACCTTTAAACTCTGCTACAGTGCCCACCACTAATGTTTCTTGTGAGTCATAAGATGCATAGTAGAGGTAAATGCTACTAATTTGTGTGTTTACTATTCTGCTTTTCTGGTTTCTTTTTGAATCCTACCAGAAAGGTGTGGAATGTTGTCATTTTTTTGTTTTATACTATCTCTGTAGGCCAATATGGGAAAGAGTATTGAAAGGCTCTTACCTCTTATTCAAAACAGTTCCACAGTGGAGTAACTTTGTGAAGTCAGCTTTCTTTGAGGTTGGTGAAACCGTAAGAACACTGAGTCCAACTTGCCAGAGTTACAAAAATTAAAATGCTGGTTTTTAGAGGGTAGTCACTTATTTAAATTCTAAAGTGATTTTTGGTGGTGGTTTTGAATAATTTAGTCTGTTTTCTAACATTAGTTCTGGATTCAGAACAAACTTGTAAAATACACATTTCCGAAGCTTATTTGGAACTATTATCAGTGAACACTCCATCTCTTGTGTGATGGTAACAAGGGTACTGCCACAGAGAGAGAAATAGTTGAGAGGTGTCGGCATACTAAACTGTGTTCAGGACCAGGCAACAACTGTGTTGAATCATTAGGATTTGGTAGATTTGATATTAAGTTCGGTATTTTTTAATATTGCTAACATTGTTCTAAGCATCTAGTTTGGATTCTCTGGTCTTTCAGTGACTGGTCTTCTGTATTTCAATGTGAAGAGAGTCCAGGTCTAACGGCTTCATTTCAAAAATGCATTTTTTTTCCCCATGAGAGCTACCCAGTAAAAAACTTTGATCCCTGCACTTCAAGTTTCTCTGGTGAAGTATGTTTGTGTGCTTAAAACGCAAGTGTTGTGTTGAATGACAGTCAACATTTCATTGGAAGTTTCCCCAGTTAAAAGAAATAAAAATTTGTAATTTTGAATCTTGCCTGAATAAAGATGTTTCAGACTCCTTAAAAATTAGTTTGCTATTCTATCCTGATCTTTTTTTGCTTACTTTGCTTTCCTTCCAAGGATCTAATTTTAAATTTGATAGTATTCTTTACAGAGTAAGATAGGGAAATCATAAAAAAATTTTGTAATTAGAGTATTTGGAGTTTAAAATGTTTCCTAAACTCAGCTCTAAACTGAAAATCATCTTTAGTGTAAAAACTTGAAATTATATTTCAATACAAATATAATATATTTGGTTTATTTGTATGTTTATAAAGGTATTGATTTATAAAATAAATTTTAAAAAACCAAAAAACTAGACAAAAGTCTCAGGTGTCCCTCTTGTTTTAAGAGAAGAGAGTGCACAGTTCTGGTTTCAGTTGACCCATGTCAGGTAAGTGGAAAGCTCCACTGGTTTTACACACTCAGAGTCTATAATGTGTTGGTGCAGCATGTGCAGGTATCATGGGTTTCTCATTCTCCACCCAGACAATCGATAATAATGAGGATTATCTGCTGCAGCTTGCACGTAGATCCCACCTTGAATATGGTAAGTTTTCATTTATATTTTATTTATATCTTCCATAATGCAATAAAATCCATATAATCCTTTTTGCTCACATTTAAGTGACTCTTAGGAATGATGCTACTTATTCATCCAGAAATATTATATGTGGCTTCACAATATGTGTTCAAATTCGTTGCCAAGAAGTTCTTTTCAGTCTTTACATGCAGGTCAGTTAAAGTAAAATAGTTGCATCCTGAAGGTTGCTCAGTTTTTTTGGCTAAACTTTCTTCATCAAAAATGCTTTTTAAAATTATTAGAATTTCTGTGTATGTAACAAACTTAGTATTGATCTTAAATCCTACTAGTCTACTCTGACTTTGAAAAATGAAATTATCCTGTATTATATTAAGATGTAAAAGAGGAATTTAGAAACATACTGCGAGAAAAGCTTGACAAGTCCAAAGTGAGAAAACCATGGGCCATTTTAAAAAGCAAAGTGACTTTTTTAGTTCAGTAAATCTTAACTTTATTGAAATTAACATTTTAATCCCCTAAAGCTGTATTTTCATTGTAAGCAAGTGAGGAATGATTCATGCTCATTCATAAGGGAGACGGGGGATGCAATGGTTCCTAGTCGTACAACTGCATGACGCATTGACTTTTACATCCCCTTTTTAGTCACTTGCAGCTTTCTGGAGGTTTATCTGTTCAGGCAAAAATTTTTCATGTTACCGATCTCTTTCAGACCAAAACCTTCCCTCCCCTCCCCGCCCCCCCCCAAAAAAAAAAAATTCTGGAAAAAGTGAGAAGTTATTTAGAATGGGATTAATTAGGGGAAGCCTATGCCTTCTCAATACATATCATGTTTTTGTCATATTGAGAGTAATTTTATCTCATGTTATTTCAGGGTGATGCCTACAGAGTTCCATTAGTCTTCAGAATACACTTGGTGTTATTTCTTCACTCTCTGATAACTAGCCGTCTTTATCTCTGTGCATGTGAAAAGGAAAGAAGTTAGTGGCATTAGAAGCCTCCCCCTGAGCCCAGGAATGCACCCCAAACACAATCTGAAAGGGTGATAGCCTAATTTGGCTTATGTTTCTCTGATCTTTTATTGAGACTGCTGTTTAATGCCAGTTTTGATGTGGACCAGAACCAGCTAACTTTGTGAAGACCATTCATCATGGGATTAACTTTCAGGCACTCCTCAATACCGAAGTGGACTAGGTTCAGACCTATGGAAAGCCTTAGTCCCTTCTAACCAGACCTAGGGATCCTTAATATCCTGCAGCTCCAAGACTTTGGAACTTGACTTTTGAGGCAACTGCTGCAATAATCATGTAGAGAGATGCCGAAGTCCTTTTGCAGTGGGTCTGTGGCCACTATCACCTCTTTCTCCTCAAAGTTAACACTTGTAGGTGTTACAACCAAAATGCTTTCTTCTCCTTGCCCACTTTCTCTTTGGAGAGGATGGTTATGTCTCTGCCATTACGTTAGGTGCAAGCTGAAGCTAGCCCAAAGCCTAGAAGGAATATCTACACTTCCTAGATCAAGGCCCTGTAGTCTGGCAGCTGCCTGTTTTCCAGGTAAGAAGTTAGGATATAATCTCCAAGAATAATTTTAAGAACATATGAGTCCTAGAATGGCTTTTGTTTGCACACACTGCTGCATGACACTGCTTCCTTTCCAAGTATCCAGTTTTATACCACATACATTGTTGGAGCTTCAGTTCACAGATAGTCTTGTCCGTGTTTCCCCTAATGTGTCCCTATCAGCCTGACCCTCACTGTATGGTCACTGTGGATTTTAGGATCCTGTCTGACAGCCAGTTTTCAGTCCATGTTGCAGTATTGACCTCACCCATGTGGTCTTTATCCAAACCAATTTGGATTGGTTATAAAAGAAAGTCAAAAAACACCATGTAAGAGAATTACTCACTTTTATGTGAGCAGATACTGGAAACAGAACAGCTGGAGTCCTGGTCCAGTAAAAAGTTCCCTGGGTATTAGTAGGATGCAAAAAATGAAAAGAATACTTAATAATTTATAAAATACTTAGATGCTCTGGGATCTCTATTGATTAAAGACAACAAGCCTTATGTACTACGTTCTGTCTACAAAACACTGTGCACACTTAAATGGACATGATCTTTGTTAATATTGATTGCACAAAATAATACATTTGATTGTGATGTAATAAATTGAATGAATGCACAGTTGAGATTTCATTAGTCTACTAGCAGTAGTTAATCATAATGTAGTAAAAGTAGTGGAAGTGTGCTATGTATAAATTTGTAATTTCTTCACTAGAGAAAAAAAATAAAAATATTTACACTAAGATTATAGAGACCATTTTGCTGTTTACTTCTTATTTACAAAAGAAATTTGGACCCAGTTCTGTGCAGCCTTTTTTCAGTGTGTGTGCCTGTAAGTAATTTAAGAAGAAACATGTAAATACATGGCTCTTGAAAGACAACCATTTAAAAAAGACATCAATAAACTAATATAGCCAGATGCAGAACATCTCACTGGAGACCAAAATAACTAATAACTATTGAATATTCAAGGATGCCTACAGAATTTGTATGAAATAATAACAAAGTTCAAACATTTCTGCTGACCTTAGTGTTGCTCATTAAAGCTTTTAGCAGAGACCTGGATACAGTTGCATTTAAGCGAGGTGTTTGGAATTAAAATACAGATAAAAGGAAGAAGGTTAATCCAGGTC